CTGGTGCTTAGATTAAGATTAGGATTGTAATCATTTCCGATTTCATTAAAACCAGAAAAGCGAATGATAAGATCCATGGTATTGAAAAGAACGAAGAGGAGAGAGTTGAGAACAGAGAGTTAAGGGGTGGAGGATCATGAGTAAAAAATTTACTGACGAAGACAAAGAGAAATTTAGGTGCAAAATTTCACCTACCGAGAGACGATTTTACCGAGAAACCAGGAACTTTTTGCACCATCTAAAACTTTACCGACAAACTCAAGAAGAATCGGGGGATGTCACACCCCCCTATACCCCTAATAGTTACGCCCCTGGTTGAGAAGCAACCTCAGAAAGATACTTAAGAAGTGGGGGTGGGGGTTTGTAGGCTTGGATTAAAAATAATATACCTTTGCCCTTAATACAGCTAAAAGCTACAAGGCTTTGCCCCCGGCCCTCATTGTCGCAGACCTTAAAGAATGGTCCTCCATTTCTTGGTTTCAAAGAAAGGTAGCATTCAATTCTTTGAAAGTATGTCCAGAAACATCCCTATTCAATTATGAGTCCACATGAATCCTGGCTGGATTGCGATGGTGTTGTCCATTATCAACCCCCAGGTAAACAAGAAGCCACGTTTCGCTAATTTGATATAAACTCAAAAATTCCTTTTTGGCTCCAAAAGATACTTTCATGTTTAAAATATTTTGATACATTCTGCTTTTATCCATCAAACTTAAAGAAATCAGCTTTACGCCAGGCCATTAAATATGGAACCTGTGTAAAGGTTTGGGAGGGGGCTGGTTGTGATGGGGGATGGGGGTTATGTTCTGTTGATGTCGAAACAATAAACTTTTCTGAAATTTTTTACCACTTGCTTTCCTCGTACATTTCCTCGTACAGTCCTGCTTTGAAGCTACAACGCTATTCAAAATGATCTTAAAAGGACAAAAGATACATAGTGCCCCCCCTTTACCGGTCACCTTCCAGGTCTGAAATGTTTCCAACGTCCCTTCTTTGCGAAGATACCTTAATTTGCCCCTTTTTCATGATTTGAAAATAAGAAGAAAAGGCAAAGCCCATTTTGAGAAATTTTCATCCACGAAAGCGATTGGGTGTCAGAAACCAGATCCCGTTGAAGCTAGTGCCATGTGCTTGAGGTCACCGTGTGAGCAGTTCACAACAATGTATAAATAAGAGAGTGACTGATTCAGATCAAGTTTTTAAAGGTTTATTCACGTAATTCGCGTTTTCCTTCTTGATTACTCGCCGATCAAAGTACAACAATAAAATACTTCCTAGTGTTGAACATTTAAGGGTGTTGCCAGTGGCGGCTCCAGCCTAAGATAAGTAGGGGGGGGGGCAAAAGGTGTCACGAACCACGCCCTTTTGGTTCACGCCCTTTTTTCACGAACCAACTTTCTGAAAAAGTGGGAGGGGGGACTAGTTCCACCTGTTCCCCCCAACCCGTGGCTCCACCATTAGGTGTTGCGAACCTCCAAGAAATTTAATTCATTTCTTAGAATAGCTTGTTGTGTTTAATGATATACATCGTATGTAAGTGACTGCATAAATTGGGAAAGAATATACCACTGCAATTTATTATGCTGTAGTCTTCAGGTAATTATTCTCTCTAGTAGAGACATTCCCCACGTATACGGGACTCGCCTCGGTCCAATTCTTTTGCCGACAAACTGCACATATCACTTAATGAGTCCACAGATTTAGTTTATTTTGATGATTTTGGGAAATTTCATCTGGATTTTCAAGCATAGTTTTATCGTTTTAATGAAAACCAATTCACATAAACGAATTTTATAAGGAAACTGATCAAATTCTCACAGATATTCTTCCTCACAATGGCAACAAAGGGTCGGTTTGACGTAGGTCGAGCCCAGACCACTGTTGTTTGTTCAATGCTTCCTAACACAATATTTACCAAAAAATAATGTTTGTTCGAATCTCCTCGCAAATTGATGAACAAACTAACATTGATTTTCCTTGCTGAAAAGAATGCTGTCTTTGCAAATAAACAACTCTAAGCAAGATGGCGTTTATCCCCTTTAACGTCTATAAAAAAATCCCTCCGGTAAAAGAATATCAAAAGATTCAACTACTCGCAAAGACCTTATTAATGAACCCTATTGTTTCACGACAGTATCAGGTTTAGCTGGCAAGATAAATACGTCAAATTTTCCCAGTTCTCCGATTGTCTGATAAGGTCAAACAGTTGCTGGAAAATATTAAAAAAGGCGTTTTGTTAGATTTCAGGCCTTCAATTCACCGGCATTCAAGTCTCAGGATATTGAAGAAAAGCTGAAAGAATTAGACAAAGTTTGAAAAGGGCAAAAGCCAAGCCTTGAATCGTTTTGTAAGCTAGAGAGGTCACTGAAAGCTCGCCCATAGATGAACAAATACATTTTCTCGTAAACCTAAGAATTCAGTCCACTATTTTCCAATATGAAAAATCAATGCATGGTAGAGCTGGTATTTATCCTTTGGTAACTGCATGAGTGTAATACTTTCCTGGTTTTCTCTCTTTCTCTATACATATGCAGTGGATGCCTGCTAGATTGGACCCTTGTGCACACAGTAAATAAATGCTGTAGCAAGTTCCATTCCTCCTCTCCGTCATCCCCATCTACATTTCTTCAAGGCTCCTATCAAGCGAAATTGTCTAGTTTCCATATTGTTCGACCTGATAGTCATAAATAAGCATGATTAATAGTCATAAATTAGCATGATTAATTATTTCAAGTAAAGGGTTGGTTAGGGTTAGGGTTAGGGTTAGGGTTAGAGTTAGGGTTAGGGTTAGAGTTAGGTTTAGGGTTAGGTTTAGGGCTAGGTTTAGGGTTAGGGTAAACTAATTACGTCATCAAGTCGAGCAGTATGGAAACTAGACAGCTCCTATCAAGCGTTGTGTTGGCAAATAGCGAACCTCTAAATGAAGATGAGGCTCCGGGTGCAAATGCACGATCCTTTAATGCACACCAGACTAGTAACATAACAACCTAACTCTTACGGATAAACTAGATGCATAAATCTACCAAACAAGGAATTAAAGGGCATTATTTACTGAGCAAATGCATTCGTCGGGTCTTTTCAACAACAAGGAGAGCAAAGAAGTTTCTCGGTCAGAAATCCCTTTATTTGCAAAGCGATATGTTTGTGAACACCTTAGTGACTTACTCGGATTTAAAAGGCTAATCCAGATCAGGATTCTTTGAATCAATCGCCCTATTCGTCAAATTCCTTGAGATAGGGCAAAGGTGCAGATGAAATCAAGGACAGCGGAGAGGATAACAGATTGGGGGGGGGGGCTAAAAGTTTTTCTGGGGGTGGGTGGCTAAACGTGCTGAAAAGAGCTTTGATATGGCTGTAAGTTAATTTTGGAAAAAACAGAGTAAAGCCCCCTCAGCCCACCCTCGCTACCACAGTTCCTGGATGAAAAACAGGCAAAATTCGCAATGTGATCCCTTGGGTAACCTATGCAAATATATAGATGCGATTATTCTTCAACAAGAGCTGCCCCGTTCGAGCCTAGCCGCGCGGAAATTTCTTGTTTGTGCGGGAAATGATCAAGTTGACAACAGGTTGTTGACCAAGCAATGAATATTTAATGATTTTATTCCATTTCTTGCACTTTTGGTTACAATTTACACAAGGATAAATTGATTTCGACATAAATGACACCAGAAGGTGTCCGATGCGGCTTGAAAAATCGCACAAACTTTCACGTATCTCGACCCATCATTACCTCTGCTCGAAAAAGCAAGTGCAGTAGACTTCCCGAGCCACTTTCATGAGTGACCATTTCTTTTGCTCTTCGAGGGCCAAACTACTCTATCTTATGGATCAATTTCCCACTATTCCATTTTCGAGCTCAGTTGCCCCAACCCCCTACAACCCCCCTTCCACTTTCGCGAGTGACCATTTCTTTTGTGCTTCGAGGGCCAAACTACCCTATTTTATGAATAAATTTCCCACTTTTCCATTTTCGAGCTCAGTTTCCCCAATCCCCTACAACTCCCTTCCACTTTCGTGAGTGACCATTTCTTTTGTGCTTCGAGGGCCCAACTACCCTATCTTCCGGGTCAATTTCCCATTTTTCCTTTTTTCAGATCAGTTGCCTCAAACCCCTACAACCCCCATTTCATTTTCATTTCATTTCAAATGGTTAAAGTAGGGTAGCCCTTCAGCAATGCTGATTTTCAAGGGGCCCTCCTTCCAAATACTCCTCCACTGTTACCTATATAGGTACCTATATAAAAGTGAACAGAGGACTGAAATAGGGACAGCTTGAACCTTTTGTCTAAGAAAGCAGACGTAGAATTTTATATGGGAAACATCGCTGCCTTAAGTTATCTCTTTATCAATGATAAATGCAATGATATCCATCGAGAGCGACTGATCACAGATCTAGGTCATTGTAAAAATCGATTCATGTTTTTGGAAGAGAAAAAAGGGGAGGTTTACTTTGGTTAGATGCACCACTAGTCGCGCCAGAGGGGGTCACTAAGCCACTGGTTGGTCGTCTGAAGATGCTGGTGTCTGTTGAACTGAATAGTGAGATTTCGCAAAGTACTGTGTACACAAAAAGCCTAAATATTTTTCTTTTAAATTGGGTGATTATTGTGGCAAGAATGACGTAATACAAAGTCGCATGGAGAACATCAATGGGTTGTATATGTGGGTTTTATCGAAGTACCATGAATGAAGATTGATACTGAGAAAATGAATCCTTGAGAACAATGACCTAACCCGTAATTTTAATGGCTTCATAAAGCATGTATATGTGAATTGTCTAGCTCAGTGATAATGAAACCACAGATAATGATAACATACATCACGGAGAGTTTGTGTATGGTGTTTGATGTGGTTGTATATACAAGCTTAAATGGGATGACTGAAAATGTATCCAGAGAGCTGGTGGAAAGTGAATTTGGTATTGGAGTCATAATAATCATCATGACAAGTTTCATGATCATGATTATTATGACCACCACTTTAATCGTTTTCGGCATCACCGCAATCAACACTAACCAACCAATCAAGCATTATTATCGTCATTTTTATTGGTCATTATAATCATCATGTTCAATGCTAGCCTTTGCTCATTATGATCCTCGATATCATTATAATAATCATGATCGTTATAATCACTTTACAACCGTTTTTGTCTCTTTAAAGGTTCTTTCGCGACCAGCATGCTTTGCGACTATACTTTCAAAACCGGCCTAATATAGTACTGCATGAAAATACAAAACACAATAAATTTCTCCTCAGGACAGCTGCCGCTATGCATGTCGGTTGCGCAAGTGCCTTTAACATCAACCAATCAATTAAACATCAAAATCATATCATAATAGTAATCATAATTAGCCATCATCAGCGTAAACTGATTTAAAATGCTTCATAATCGTATTCTTAATAATGGTCTCCATTATCAGAGTACAAGCTCATGTTTACCCAACAACAAACAAACTAAAAACATTGTAATTCATCCCTAAATCGCGTCATTTCTAAATATGACTCAGTACTTTCCGCAATAAAATTTCACAACCTAAGTGTTTGTTTCCCCGCCAGCGATTACGAAAACTGACACATAAGAAGTGAAATTTAATGTTTCACGAAAAAGTGCCATAGCAATAAAATAACTGGCTGAAACATTGATCATACATATATTACTCTGTACTCTGACGTGGCACTAAGCTTTTATCGGACTGAAGCTGACGCCCAGCTAATTCGACTGATAGATAGAAAGATCTCCAAAGTCAAACTGCCGAAAAAAGATATGATTACATTATGCCATCAGATATGGTAAGAGCAAAATTCAAGTCTTTGTTAATAGTTTATTAGTCTTTATTGGTCCTTCAAGATATTGGGGTGTTTAATTGCAAATTTTATGTAAAGCATATACGAATTTTGTTTCATAGGAGACCGTCTAAAAGAAACCGAGCACAAAGATGACCAGACAATTGAAAATTGCTAAAAAATCCTTCTTCTCAAGATAGAATCGAGATTATTCAGTAGAATAATCTCGATTCTGTCTTGACGATAAGAGCCTTTGCAATTTCAAATTAATCTTATAGAACACTTTTATATTTCTAAAAGGTAGTTCTTTAGCCTTTTGTATCCCAAAACATTTACGAAAAATTAAGTACTAAGCGCAACAAATAATTATAAAAACTGAATATTAATCCTAAGCTAAGTTTTTTATGAAAAACAGTATGTATTTCATAACCAAAGATGTTTTCTTTCCTTAGACTTACAGATATATTTCGTCATTAATCCATATTTTCACGAAAGATAGATGGTATACGAGGCTTAAAGTGTAGACATCAAGAGAAACTAAAAATTTTCTGGTCTACTGAGGGAGGAGAGGGAAATTTGTTAAGAAATCAGGATAACTTAATCCATTCATTCTTGAGCAGCTAAATTTATGTTGTCAAAAAGTTTAAGAGAGCGAGTGGAGCCCAAGAAAGCAGAATATTTATACTTATATGATGTGTCAAGGTTTTTTGTGGGTCAAGCTGTTTTCTAGGCGGACCATTCATCTCCTCAAAACCTAGTGGATTGCCAAAACCGTAGTTTCAAACATAATTTGTATTGGCGTGGCTTTTGGCTACCACGAAGTCACACTTTGTTTCAATGTCAGATCGTACCCTTGAAATTTTGATTCCTAGAGTTTCAAACCAGAAAAAAATTACAGTTTGGGCAAATCATGACCGGTACTGTGTCAACAGAGACAATTTGAACCGGGATGATTTTTAAAACCGGACAATTTTTGATCCGCGCAATTCATAATCCGGACAATTTTGCGCCTAGGAAATATCTAACTCAGGCAATTTTAAACCCGGCCAACAAGAAATTAAACGTTCATATGTATTCAAGGCAATTCCTTTAAACCGTCAATTATAACTTTCTTAAACAAACTGACACGACCGTTCAAAGAAAACATTTCAAAAGCGACAAATGTCAAAGAAACAAAGACAGTGATTTCTAAGGGCTGATTTCACAAGAATGAGTACCTGCAAATGCATTTCGATTACAATAAAATTGTTTTGAAAACAACGTCTCCCGCCATGAATTTTGAACTGATTGTAAGTCACGTGATTAATGACTTATCACGTGACTTTATCCGAGCACCTGTCGTCTTCATGGCAACGCAACCCCTCATTATCCATTAAAAAGCTTGGGTATTCAACAAGCATACATGTTTTATGAGAAATTCACGATTTATGGCTGTGATATATGGCATAGCTTATTAATAGTGAAATAAAGACTGGTTGTATATGTGCTCTCTGGTGTGTAGAATCTCGTAGGTATGGCATTGGTGCAAAGAAATGCGAGGTGAGAAAATAGACTTTGTTTGGCGAACATTGTTTGAATACGTGCTAGTTATTGGCAATACAAAAACAAACATTGTTTCGTCAGAGGTATTTGACTGGTAACGCAGAACATTGTTTCATTTCACAAATAATGCATATGGAATGTAAAATTGCTGAATAGAGTAGATAGGGTAGGAAAATATCACGATACTTTTAGAAATCATCTGTTGGAAAAACACTTCTATTGATGACTCAAGAGATGAACATTGTTTCTTGCTAGCTCACATGCAATCTAGAATGATACTGCGAGCAGACAATGTTGAAACATTGTTTGACTTCATGATAGCCAAAAGCAATACCAAAACAAACGATGTTTGAATGTCGTTTAATTGATCAGTGATTCAAATCAAAACATTGAAGTTTATGTTTAATTACCGATAATAAAAAGTTAAAGGTAGATTCTTTCAACAGGCAAGTAATGTTCTGGGTTTAGCTTCAAGCAGTGCAAGACATGTTTGGGCTAGCTGACAAGCAAAGCAAAACACATCTTCATTGTGGAAACGAAACATAAAGAAATGAAACAAAAGTTCTATTTTTGATAAGACTGTCTGCAAAGAGAAGTAACTTCTCAAGCAGAAATGTTCTGTTTTTGCTACATGATATGCATTTTTGAAACACTGTTTGACTTATTTAAAAAGAAACATGACAGATATTGGAATCAGTGACAGATTCAAACAATTGCTTAATATTTTCGAACCAGCTTAGCTTGTCTGACGTGGTGAAGATAAAAATGCTGTTAAAACTATCTTTACTCGACTGCAAATCAGTTTTAGACCCTTTAGAATGATAAGATAATCTAAGTAATGCTCGATGCCTTATTGGCAGAGTTGTGTTTTCTTTTGTGAGTAAAACAGATCTAAGTTTCTACAAGGCAATATGTATGCTGATTTCAGTGCTATCAATTTTATCAAGCATGTTGAGTGACATTAAACAATGATTATTGGTCTGTTAAACCTCTTTATATATAACCCGATGCCATAAAGCAGAGCTGTTGAACCTTGGTTCCATAGGAAAGGACAGCTCAGTGGTTTGGGTCGCGAGAGAAAGCCTACAGGTGCGAGAGTCTGATGTACGAGTCCTTGCCATGACCAAACTTTCACTTAGAGTGTGGAGAGAGGGTGGCCCGGTATCTGTGATTCCAGGGGTAGGAATCACTTGGTGTGGCCACCTTGAGAGTAAGGACCAGGAAACTGCTCGATACGTCTAGCTGCACAGTGTCCTAAAAACTACCTTTGCATGCGAGGCAGTAACAAATAGAAATAGATAATTGAACCGGACCGTGCCAAGTTGCTTCTCAAAGTTTTTAGGTACAAAATACTACAAAATACAGTTTTGCAACCTGTAATTGACCTACTTCTAATAAACTGTTTTTAATTAACAAGGTTTAGATTGAATTAATCAGCAAAAATGATGAAATCTCTCTCTAGTATGCGGGTTTGTTTAAATTGAATCCAATTTGAATACTGCATTGTTTTTATGACCTGACAGATGTCGGATTCATTGACAAGACGATGAATTACTGAGTAAATAAAAGCATCATTCAGAGGGAAATCGAGACCGCACAAAAACGCGGGAGGGACGCGGCAGAAACGCGGGTTATTTTGAAGTACTATTTCTGTAATCCCATTCGAAATATGAAACGTAATGATGAAAATGTGAACTGATCACAGCGTGAATGGGAAATGGCGTGAAAGGAAGAATGGCGCGTTCGATTCTATTCTTCCTTTCACCAACCAGCGGTCATTAACCTTCCAGATGAAACCTACTTAATGTAAAGGTACTCGTTATTTCCGGTTGTGAAGGAGTGTATGACTTCTAGTTTTGGCGGGTTGTATTGGATTAAAGACAAATGCCTGTACCTAAAAACAGCCAAAACGCGGATAGTTTAATCATCAGCGGAACGGCAAGCTGCCTGATAACCGCATCAAGCGTGAAATTCGGAGTAGCAACTTAGAAGCGTCCTGCTCTATATACCAAAAGAGTGTACAGCCCCACCTTTACGTTATCAAGCTATTCACGAATACGCCAATAGACTCAGAGGTCGCATCTGCACTTTAACCAACCATATCAATCTTATTTGGAATACTGATAAGGTTTCTGAGGAAAACTGTCTTATCAGATATCGACCACGTACCTGGCGTCAAAATTTTACTTATCGACTAAGAATCTGGCCATGTGAGATCGATCTTCAATTTCTATGTTTACATAATCGAAATCACAACGTGGCTATTCGCAAATGAGCTGTAATTTGATATAAGCCATTGAATTGATATGATCACAAGCACATGACAGTCATCTGTTAAAAGCATTTGACATGTATTAGTACAGCGAATCTAAAAACAACTTAGGCCAAATTGATCAGAGCACGCGCACAAGAAAGGAATTGGAAACTGTTCACGTGAAACCACTGCGCGTTGTTCTAGGAATTCACCGAGTTGCAGAAAGGCGGAAACTGTTCACGTGTTTTTCTCTGTGCGCAATTTGATTGGTCAACGGATCGTGGTCGAGTGGCTGTAAGCCACTTTTACCTGTGTCAAATGCCTTTAAAGACTCATTGCTAACAATGAGCCATTGCGCTACGTAAGCATCCCATAATGCATTTTTAGACTGTCTAAAATCAATCTTGGTTTATTCGTAGAAAATTACTGCCATTGTTTGGACCATCGCCACGCTCGCAAAGGCCCATTGTTAGCAATGAGTCTTTAAGCAAGAATAATTCATAGTTGCTGCTGACATACCATACTATAGCAAGCAATTTTGTCCGATCATATTGGTTGAGAAAATGATGTAACACATCTCAGTTAGTTACCAGGCCACCTACCCTGGGTACCAGACTCACTATATAAAATAATAGAGAGTCTGGTCTAGTGCGCCCCATTCTCGTTCTGGTGAACTTACTTGAAAGAATTGAAGTCTATTTAACAGACTAGGCCTGTGAAACAAGACTGTCAGATAAATAATAAAGAAACTCAGTAGTCAGAGGAGTTTTGGGAAATCTTAAAGCAAATTTGTTTTACTTGGTTCTTTAAAATCGACATTTTTAATACAGTGGTAATAGACTTTTCTGTCTCAAGATAACAATCAAATCAGGTTCAAAACGCCATTTGGCAGCAAAAAACATGTGCGAAGCATGAAATTAAAGTTAGCACAGTGCAGTTATTAAATGTTAATCATTATCAAATTGTTAATCATAGTCTTTTGTAATTTTCCTCATAAATTGTGTGTACTTTCAACGTCTACTTCCTAACTGTGAAGGCAGCGCGCTTGGACACCGCGGCGGTTAGAATCATCACGTTGGAAGGTCACCACAGCAAATATGGGCAATATGACAAGCGAAGCCCCGTATGCCGGGCGAAATATTAGCTATAACTGATTTACTTATGTTTGTTGTTGTTTTTTCTCGGCGCCTTGCGGTGTTTCTTATCTACTGCATTTCACTAGAAGGCCTAATTTCCAAAGCCAGTTGGCAATATGGCGAAAGTGTCTCTTCTCTCTACAAACAAGGCTTTCAATGCTGTTCTGTGATCAGTTCCACAACATGCGGAAAATATTCTTTGAGTACAGTTTTAACAGCATCTTCAAACTCAATCGTTACGATCGCTAGCATTTATTTATGTTCTGTTCTGTTCAATGTTTTATACCAGAGCTAAGTTTATTGTTTCGCTGTGACCTTTGAACGTACAGAAATCTGTACACTCGCTCCTGATTGGTTAATATCAGCACACCAGAACGAGAATGGGGCGCACTAGACCAGACTCTCTATTTTATTTCATATATAGTGAGTCTGGTACCCAGGGTACAGGCCACCAAAAACCAGTTTTCAAAGCAATTCTAGGTAATCTCAGTTGGCGTAACAAAAATGTACAAATTGACAAGGATTTTGACGATGCAAAGTAATTTACTTCTATCGCCTGCAAGCCCCATCTTATATTGTACTAAAGCTGAAACATTATTCTGGAAAATCCTTACTAACGTTTTCATAATTATTTTGTTTCATATTTAAAGTCTGAACTTTCATGTTTCCGTGAATTCAAATATAATCTCGACAATTATCATATTTTCTTATTTACAAACTAGTTTGTTAAAAAATTGCTTTTTCATAAATAGAAACTTGAACATCCTTCACAAAACAATCTCTAATTAATTCTTGATTTTCGTTTTTCGTTTAAGTGCTACATATTAAGGACCTTCTTTTCGAAACAAAGTTTCTATTGTTTTAAGACACATGCTTCAAAATCGGATTTTAGTTTCATGTAAATTGCCTCACGCAATATCAAAATAAACGATACTTTGTCACGAAATGGAATTAATCGCAATGAAAATCGCTTGATGGGATTAACAGATGAATTAAGATGATCCGTATTTTGAAAAATATTATCAATAAATAACGACAACCGAGGAATGGGAGGTAACAAAAAGATTAAGATCATGCTGAAAGTATCTAGGGTGGAATTCAAGTGTAGAATTGTGGAAAAGACAGATTAAAACAAATGTCTGAGAGATCATGAAATTAGCTCATGTCAAAACGAATACGTGACGTAATCAGTGGCAGAGCCACGGGGGGGGTGAATTGGGGGGACTAGTTCCCCCCACTTTTTCAGAAAGTTGGTCCTTGAGATTCTTGCAAAACCTGATGAGAAAACTTCAGGGGGGGTATGTACGTTATCTAGATCGTTACATGTAAATGACATTTCTTCCTCCGGAAGAAAAAGGTTCAAACAGGGGGAAAGGGCGTGGTCCAAATGGGCGTTGTCCCCGACACACCTTTTGTCCCCCCCCCACTTATCCCAGGCTGGAGCCGCCACTGGACGTAATATTAACTGAATCTACTGCATCGATATTGCTTATTCTTCTGGCACACTTTAAAAAACAGACACAGTTGCTGGTCTTACTTATTCGCGTTGCCATGCTCAGCAAAAACTGTCACAAACATTTTCCATCATGACATATTTATCAGAATAATAAATCAGAAACAGCTTTTATCAACATAAAGAAGAAACAATATGCATCTTGCGTCGGTGCCTCAAACAGAAACGCTGCGCAAGATGACACGGCAGGGTTAATTTTAACGTGCAGTGATAACCAATTTGTGAAGTGGTAAATCGTTATTGTGCAGTGATAAACTCAAATTTTGTGCAATGATAAAACTAAAATAAAGAGATTTGCCATCGAAAAAGCAAAGCTGAAGCATCTGCCAGTAGACACATAAAGCTTATAAAAGGGCATTACAATATTAAAAACTAAAAACGAAAAAACAACAGCAAAAGTGATCATAATCCAGGTAGTTTTATTGGTGTGATCATGAAAATTTTCAAAAGGAGACACCCAAATTTTCTGAATATGTGCAGGGATAAAAATTTTCTTAAAATAAACTCTGTGACACTGAGACCCCGTTTACACTGTCCCGGGACAATTTTGTACCGTTACGGTTCGCAAGTGTTTACACTGTCGCGGTTCTAAATTGTTTCGTTTAGCCGTTCCGTTTACACTGTACCGGTACAGTGTAATGGCTTCAGAATTTAATGGCAGAATATTGTTTAGAAGAAGCTGTATTTAGTCAACCAAGGCTTTTATTTTGCCGCCGAAGTCAACAATCGAATTTTTATTGAGAGTTAAAATGGAATGGAAGGCCGATAAAAACTTTACTTGGACGAACGACAAGGTGGCTTTAATTTTCAGTGTTATTTTAGACTACAAAACTGCAAAGTCTAATCAAGGCTTGGACTGGGAAACACTACAAGCCTTTTCTGTGGTCGTCTTTTCTTCAGAATTTCCTTTTCTTCAGAATTTGACAACGTAGGTACGCCACAATCAAAGCCTCGATTACTTGAAACAGCCATACAAAAGACCTCTTTGTGAATCCGTGACAAAATCGTCTCGGATAGGTGTTTACACTGTCCCGTTCAAAAACGGAACCGTGACGGTACAAAATTCGTTCGCTTTCAAAGCAGGGTCCAAACTGTTCCGGATAGCAGAGCAAAATCGTCACGGTTCCACAGTGCTAGTGTAAACGGAAGGGCGAACCGCGACAGTTTTGTCACGGTTCCAAACTTGCACGGGACAGTGTAAACGGGGTCTGAATAGAGTGTTTCGACCTTTTCACTCTGGCCTTGAACTCTGGCCTTTAACCTAAAAAGGCATGACTCCTTGCTTCAAGGGTCTCATGCCTAAACACATGTGACTTCCGAAAATGATAATGATTCTAAATTTTGTGAGTGAGAGAATTTCGTAAGATCAATTCTTGAAATTAAGTGGGTCTAAGCGATTTACTGTCTACTGTCAATAAATATTGTGTTAGATTTAGTATCTCACCAAAGTGTGGATTGTTTTGTTCTCTGCAATGACTGGCTACATTTTTTTCAGGTATCAGAATTCAGTTGAGAAGCGAACTTCGGTAACTCGATCTTCACGATCCGAGCGTTCGTCTAAGGGCGCACACTACTCAAAGAACGAGCAGGCAGGTTTCGAACAGGACGCAAATAACAATTTCGCGTCGTCGAAATCTGTCGAATCTGCCTCGTATTCACAAACACAAACAAGTAGCTCAACCAAAAGGAGGTCATCCATACCCGTGAGACAGAGAGGAGAAAGCCCTACCAAAGATTCTGCTGAGTCGCCAAAAAAGCTCAACGAAAGTTCGGGATTAGAGCGGAACGCTTCAAACGAGGAAGACGAGGTAAGTGCTCAGTAGACTTTGATGATCGCTGTATAACATTAAAAATAATAATGGTAACTTTCGTTTTACATAACTCTGATAAAAATAAAGAAAACTTAATTCAACACAGGCAGTTTGTATCGGCAAGCCTACAATCCTGGACAAAAATAGATTAGACTTTTCAAGAAAGTTGATGGTTTACTCCCCCTTTGAGAAATAACTCCCCCTCCCCCGATTTAATTATTCGAATACAATTATTCGTATCTTCAAGTATCAATTAAAGGTAGTGTTTATCATAGAGGGGATTTGTCATATCAACATTTTTATCAATGCTCATATTAGACTCTTTTATACGCGGGAAATGAAATTTCAAAATATACACCTGTAAATAAAGGTTTCTTGATATTATTGATAACAGGGAAGTAGGGCTGATATTTTAAAAAGTTGCGTATGAGCTCAGTTCAGTTTCTCAAACATTACATTGGATATATATTAAAGAAAGCTCTTTCATCAATACAAATATATTTTTTTTAAAATAATGACCATTACGAAATAGATAAATGTATTCTTCTGGATGTAAAATGTATTGTTATTTCAAAAGATACCTTATTGAAAAATATTAGGTTATAAATTACATTCTAAGTTGAATAATTATATTATACTTCAATTGAAAACTATTCATTAATATTTCTGACTTGAAATTAGATTTTATTTAATAACAATAGTTTTGAAATAATTGTTCAGAAGAATAAATATTCATTCTCACTTAATAGGTTTCAAAATATATTTGTATCTATGATATAAATAAAAAATAGAAATATATTTTGTATTTGTGGTTGTTTATAGGAAACTCCGAAGTTACAAAGGAAAGCTAAAAAGCGTCTCGTGAGAAAGGTCAAGCGACGAAATAACGCTGTTGTTGGGCAAGAAGAAGAAAATCAAAATACTGGAAAAGAAAGTGTTAGAAATAGGAAAGATTTGTCACCAGAAAGATCAGACGGAAGTAGCGTCAGTGAAGACGAGTTCTTGGAAAAAGAATCACCACAGGGATACGGCAGTCCTAGTATTTCTATCCAGCGAAATCCAGTGATAACTGTAGACAGACCGAAACCGATAAAGATTACATATAGGCCGGTATCAAAGGAAGACGAAAATCAAGCAGACGAGCCGAGAAATCGCAGGCGACCGAGGGAAGAGAGACCAAAGACATTACCAGTTACTTTGGTCGTTAAAAGACCGGAGTTACCGGAAAATACCGCCGAATATTCTCAAGGTTCGGACGAGGAAGATACTTTGACGTCAGGTGGCGAAAATTCAGAGGCCGATCAACAGCGAACATCTATTCGCATAGTTTCGTCTGCGAAGTCGTCAGATACCGAAGATTCTTCAAGAAAGCTTCGGATTGAGGCGAAATCGACTAAAAGAGCCGCAAGTAAAGAGACTGTTAATAGCAACACTGAAGATTTGCATACTGTTGAAAAGAATAAACAAACACGTGCTGAGGAAATCTACAACAGAAAAACCCGGAGGATAATCAAACGAGAACCCTGGGGAAAATCAGCGGTTAAGGAAGATCAGGTTACCGCTCAAAACGTAGATCGGTCGGAAAGTATCCCGGTAAAACACCTACAAACATTACCGAGAAATTTCAAGACCGTCCGAGTACCAATACAAACACAACCGGTTTCGCCCGAAAATAAGCAAGTAGAGGGCAAACAGAATTCGTTGAAACCGAAGCCTAATCAATTGCGAAGAGCCTCAGAAGGTTCGTTGGTTAGCAGATCGGACAATCAGAGTGATACAGGCCAATCTATCTCGGGTGCATCAGTACCTTCATACGACGCTTCACCGACAGGACAAAAGTCTGCCCACCAGTGTCGCCGAGGTTGCACACACGTCGTTGACGATACCGAAGACGGGCCGAGAATCGTACGTCGCTCTAGAGATAAGCGTCGCCAGTCGAATCCGAACCAAATCTTAGGCCGGACCGAGATTCTAGATTCCAGAAAAAGTCGACCGAAGTCAGAAATACTTAGAAGTGAATCTTTACCAAGATCAGCCGGACGACCAAGGATCAAATCGACTGGATTTGAAGAATTCGTAGAAATCCACGACTTTGATACGTTTAATCGCAACAAAACGAGAACATTACCGAACAGAAAGAAACGAGTTACGTACCACGAGGATACGAAAGATAACGCAGCCTTTAGCGAAACTGAGGTAGGTCTGTTGCTATGGTCTAAGTTGGTATGGAAACTAGTTTTCTTAAAAATGCGATTATGGTTATTTCTTTTGTGAAAATTCCTGTTGTGATTTCAGGAGTAACTGATAGTTGCAACTTTATGCCAATTTGTTTGCTGGAGTTTCGGGAAACTTTTTAAACCTTAGCCCGCTAGCTGCTTACAATGTATTTCAAAACATTGATTTTTAAGGCTTTCAATTCTATCGCCGTGATTGTAAAAAATGTTAACTATGAACCACTTTTAGGGAAAAATGTGCATCTTTTCGGCAAAGATAAGATGGGTATTCCAGTTTCACGCCAACTAAGTTACTCTGACATTAGTTGATAGTAAATAAGAGCAACTTGAAGAAAAATAAACTTGAATACGGAGACACGAGATGCCTCTTTTTCTATTCCCAATTAGACAAGGCTTTCAAAACCTTATTCAGCAAAATAGTGAAGAAAAGGCGTGACTCTGGGCGTGGTTATTGATGTAGCATCTGAAATTCATTCAGTGGCATCTGGTACCTTTTTCACGACAGGCGCAATTTTCTCCTTATCAGAAAGCTAATCAGTTCACGCATTGAGTTTTTACCTTTTTAAACTTGTTTCAGGTTGTGAAAGAAGACTTCCAACGGCATCTTGAAACTCACCAGAACTTCACAAACAACCTTCAGAAGCAACTGACACCAACAGGTGACCCTCCCAACTTCGCTGCGGAGGAGTATCGACGAGCTAGTTTACAAGAAAAAGAAGGAAGAGCAAAGGAAATCAGGAAGTCCATTGAAACGCAAAAAAACGTTGAGCAGAGAAACGCTATTGGCTTTAAGAATCAGCAAAAGGTCAAAGGTCAACAAAGAAAGGTCGAAGAGGTCAGGTTTTCTCAAGATAGCCAGTTTGAGAGTCAAAGTTCAGAGGGAGTTAAAACAGACATATTTGGTTCTGGGAAGTTAAATAGCCGGGAACTAAGCAATCACGAAAAAGGGTCTAGAGACATTTCAACGGAAAAGCAGAATAGCAAAGAAACAAAAGTTGGAAAGAGAGAGAAGATAAGAGAGCAAGTAATTGAAGAGCATATTGAAGCGAGAAGAAAGAGCCAAGATCGGAGAATCGAAGTTATCGAAAACACTAATCAAAAAGAGGAAGCGACAGTTCAGAGAAGCCAGAGCCTTCCAAGAAGCACAAACAAGGAAGAATATCTAAACGAGAAGCAGCTCGAATTCGAAGAATTCATTAGAAATCAACGGAATTCATTGCTTAGTCAGTTGAAACAACGGGAGGAAAATCGATTGCAGTGGTTAGAAGAGAAGAAAGAGGTCAAAGTTCAGGAGAACAAGCAAAAGATTCAAGAGGAAGAAATACAGCTGAAAAGAGCAGACAACGAGAATTCAGGGCGTCGTATCGAAGATTTTCTTAGATTTCCAGAGGCATCTAAAAATAAAAGACGATACAAGTCAACAAATGACGCTGATAGCATAAAACAGGCAAAAGAAATTCATAGTCAGTCAGCTTTTGAAAGGGTAGCTGAAAATTCAACGGTCAAAAGTCATAGGTCAAGTGAGGTTAAAAGTCAAAAATCAAAGGTCAGCGAAAGTTTTTTGTTACAAAACGAGCAGAAGGCAAAGGGCATCGAAAAAGCTCCACCGAGTGATACAGAAGAGATTATAAGGGTTTATTCAAGGGGTAAAGTTATCCAGTTGAGCATGGAGACAGTTGATAGGGACAGGTTTGAGCAGCGGCAGAGAGAGTATGAAGAGATCCAAAAGCGTAGATCTTACCAACAGCAACAACAGAGAGTAATTGAGGATGATAGATACCGATATTTCAACAATGAATTTGAAAAGAGGAACGCCTTTTATCACACACAACAGCAATATGACCCCAATAGAAGCCCAGAGTAAGTTCAAATATAAACCGCTTTGCTTTCTCCACTTTTATTATTTAGTGACTTACCTTAGGCCGATTTTTTTGCGTTAGTTAAATTTAGCGAAAATTGATGGGCACAGATTAAGCACAATCTTAATTTAGTGAAAAGCAGCTTCATTAGCGAGGGCAAATCCGAAGCTAAGACGAGGAGAAATTCAACTTTTTGTAACTAAAAATTGGCGAAAAAGCTCGAATTCGCTAAATCGCTAAGATAAGGAAACGCAAAAAAGTCGGTCTAAAGTAACTTGCAAATCGTGAAGTAAAAAGTGGCTTTTTTAGTGATTAGGTCTTAGATTAAAGCCCAGTACAATGCTTGGATTAAAAACCGTCGCAATTAAAATACTAGGTTCTCCCAAAAATATTTTTGAAAATGCACCTGCGAATGCAAAGTGATATTTCATCATTACAAAGAGCATTACTTTAAGTTTTTATCATTATTATTATAACATTATTTACAGTTGGTTGAAATACTGTTAGTTCTAACATGAACTAATTAAGACCAGCTGTTTATATAGAAAAGAAATTATAATTACAATAAATACAATAAGTATATGCTTCTGGTGAGATTCCCACGGACCCTTTATCTACATATATTCATATATTCGAACTTGTTTTATGTTCATATATTCAAACTTGTTTTCAGTAACAATAGTTATGAACACACTGATAAAGTGTCTTAATAACTTGCTGTCTTTTTAACATTGGCTCACTTTTTAGTCTAGCGTCTGCAAGACTCAGTCTATTATGCTATGCACTGTAGCCATTGTAACAAATTTTCCTATTCTTTGAGCGTCTGCTAGTTATGACAGCATTTGTTCGATTTGGTAACCATCTCTCTAAAATCTTTGTTTAGATACAACCATTTCCAGAATGACGCCCATATGAACGACAATGTTTTCGAAGACTACCACGACACGAACACGACTCAAATCACGAAGGTCAAGCGGGATCAAATCAAGGGAAAACTCGATAAAGTCTATTACACCATTTGTACGCATTACTTCTTCCCGGAAGACCACGAGCTGATTGTCAACCTCCATCGTCTGGGCCAAATCGAGGTAAATTCAAAATTGCGGTCTAGTTTAGGCTAGTTTTACAACTTGTAGCTGAAGTTAACACCTCAAAAGTGCAGGGGTGTCTAGTAACATGAATTTCAGGGATGTCCCAACGTTTCTTCTTCTATCTCGATATATTACCAATACATCGTGTTTTCATTGAAGACTTCAATTTTCAAACTACTTTGATGTTCTCAATTCTACATCCGTGGTCATTTTATACCAGTTCAATCTTTATTAAAAAGGATTTCTTAAGTTGATTTTTTCTTAAGTTGGGTAGAAAAATTGGAATAAGAGAGGTTTGTTATGAAGTGTTTCGATTAAAACGAGAACAAAAATTATTTACAATAGAAAAAAGCAGCAAAATCTAAAAAAAAACAATCATACAAAATATGACGATTTTTTACTTCATTTCGTCACAAAAATCTTATGGCCTTGAGGAAGGAGAAATGTTAAGACATAATCGGGTTTTCGCCTGACACTCTAATTTCTATACTTTTAAAATTTTGTGTTTTAGTGTGCTAGCACAAAGGTGCTTTATATTTGATACAAACTATAGAAAATATGTTTATTTCAATATAGCTGGGAGAAGATGCTTAATTTACATAATGAGTTAATAACTTTTCTTGCCTCTTAAATGACCTAGAATTAGGACCTGACATCCCCCTCTCTCTCTTCCCCAGGTCCCACGCGGACTGAGTCACGAGGACACCTGCATTTTCTACAACCACCTTTATGTTTACGAGAAAGAAGAAGTGTTTGCCGAAACTCTCGCGCCGATAACGCCGACTATCAAAACAGAAGTCGTCAACTTTGATGAGCAGGTCCCGGATGAAGAAACATTGTCAGAACATTCGTCAGCAAATCAGAGTTACAACGACGAAACATCGTCACAATATTCCTCATCGAGCCGACGCGACCGAAATCTCTACTCGAGCCTTAAAGCGCAAAAGTATTACGATTCGCGGCGAAACAATAGCAACGAGGATTCGATGGATTTCGGCTTCGATTCGACGTACGAAACGTTACGACGAAAACGCAAGAGCCGATCCGACGATGATGACTGGAATGGGAACCGATCAGTCTCCCCGACAAGCTCATCCGGAAAGTCCGACTTGACGTATTCAAAACCGAGATTGCTTCGGCGTTCGGATCATTTCCCGGGTGTCGGAAAAGAGATCGAGGATGACTATCCAAGGTGGACCCCGAAATCGCCAACATTGCGGGAGCGCGATTATGGCCTATCAGTGGCACTTCCACCTTAATTTGCACGTTGTCACCTTCAGTCACAAGGATGTGTTGGAATAGAGAAATTTCTGACTTCACAAAAAGCTACGAACAGAACTATTTTAAGTGTGGGTTTTATTTGATCTAGCATTAATTTTTACACGATTGGAGTGTCGTATTTTGGTTTTAAGTTATGTCTTCTTGTCGCCTGTCAGATTTTCTAATCCATGAATAACAGACATTGTCACAAAAAGTAAGTAAATCAAAATATCAAATGCTGATAGAGAAACTCCAGGCCTGGTTGACAACTTCAATCTTTATAGGCGGTGAAAATGAATTACACAGTCAAAAGGCCGAAGTCTTATATTGTGACGTGTTTATTTCTAGAACTGTAATTGGTCAAAAAAAACCTGTCAACCAACCATAAAAAAGAAACAAATTGATAATTTGAACAAATATTTGCGCTCGTTTATTAATCCAACAAAATTTTTTCCTCTTTTTCAATAATTTCAACACATTCTTGCCTCCCGTTCAAAAATTCGAACTCCCATTCAATAATTCAACTAAATCTCCGTATCCCATTCGATAATTCGAACAAATTTCCCTTCCCCTTTACAGCTCAAACAATTGATCAATTAATCACTCAATAAATTCCCTATTTATTCAAAAGAACTTTACTTCTCGAAAACGTTAGCTTCTATCCATGACCTTTCCTTTAGCACTCATTCTTCTAATTCCACTAAACCTGTGTACGTCTTTATATGATTTTAAAAACAATGCATGTAATTTTTCTAGAAACATTTTGGTCTTGGGAGTACAGTGGAATCTCGCTATGACGAATTGTAGGAACAGAATGGTTCGTAATATTGGAAATTCGAAATAGCGAAAAGTTCGAGATAGCGAAAAGTTCGCAATAACGAGATGCTCGCAATAGGGAGATTGCGTCGTAACACACAGGACTCTGTATACAGAGAAGATTCCAAGGAACCAGATTTTTGGTTCGTTATAGCGAAGTCCTTAATACGAAGGGTTCGTAATAGCGAGATTTTACCGTATATATTTACAATACAGTCCGATTTGTAATGACACGTGGTAGTAGAATCATGTGATTCGCATGTGATTGAATGATTTTGGTAACACTGATAATACTAATTAGGTAGGTCTTAGACTAATTGCATTTGTAGAACGTACTTTTATCGTATGTGTCCGTGATGTGTTTAGAAGTTAAAATTTGCAAAACACCACAGTAAGCTTTGAAATAGACTGTTTCTATATGGCTGATGGATGCTTCTGTGTTGAGGGGCTATTTCCGAAATATGATATAGAATAACTATGAACAGTAATTTCCTCAAAACAAAAGACAAACAATTTTCTCCCGAAATTCTGCCTTTTCCTCCAGTTTTTGCCCACAGCCAATGGACACGTTTCTGCAACGGACGTACTGAGACAGAAACTACGATCTCAGTCCGATCTTAGGCGGTTGCACTGAAAAAGGAACCTTGAAAGGCAGAAAGCTCCCTAAAACGGACACCTTCCGGACACCCTATAGTAGATGTCCCTACAACGAACATCTTCCTCCCCCGGACACTTCCCTTCCCAGAAACTTTTTCCTATTGCAGATGTGTCTCTACAATTGACACCTCTCTTCCCCGGACACCTTCTTATAGCAGACATGTCCCTACAACTTAGCAGGCAACTCCCTACAACGGACAACAAGTCTTCTGTCCCTGGTGTCCGGTACAAGCAAGCGCTCCTGCAGAAGTACGTTTCAGAGAGCTTCCCTACTAGAGAAATCAACTTGGATCCTTCAGGTGTGGCAAATGGAGGTTTTTTTCTTGAAGCATGACCAATAATTAATCCCCAGATGCTAAGAATATTTACCTATAACGTAAATTTTTGAAGAAAGAATAATAGTAGGCAAACAAGGCTTCTTGTGATGTTGTGGATAAAACATGAAACAAGAAGGCAAAAACTCGAGCATGGGATTAAGTGAATAACGTGATTAAGTGAAGTGACTAAGTGATGTGACTAAGCGATGTGATTATGTGATCATTAAGGTGATACAGGGAGCTCCCTGGAGTTGATCACTTGACTGTATATAAATGATCAGTTGATCAAATGATCAAGTGAATCAATCAATCAGCTTTGAATCAATATGCTGAAGGAGTGGCTCAAAAGAGACACGTGACTGACAAAAGTGATTGAATGATGAGAAAAGATTAAATGATTTTGCAAAATGATTTTATGATATTAAATGAGGCGATTTGCCGATTTCTCGAATAAAAAACTGCCACTTACTTGTATGGAGATTTCACTGTTACTTTGGCCTTTGGATCAAGCAGGAAATGTTGTTGTGTTGCGATTGCCTTTGTTCTATCTTTCGGGTCAATTGTTATATTAATCAGGGGATGACCCATTTGTAGTGTCCAGGTTTTCATCATACCGAAAATGTCTTGACCTGTCACCTAAGAGAAGGGGATGCTCAATAAATTCGTGTTTACTTAGGGAGTAGACACAATGATATGAGAACATGACCTGTGCTACTTTGACCATAAAACTCTGAGGTCACGAAGAAGCGGTAACGGTTGAAATAAACGAATGAAAATGGTTTGATCATGACCAAGTTCAAAATCAAAACATTACAAGCTTTGAACTCTATGAATCAGGAGGTGAAATTATAATTAGGGTCCTTGAAAATATCGACAATGAACATGGGGGTTAATTTTCCACCTCAAAGAAATGACCCATGTTACCATGACCTTTAAAATACTGACCTTTGGCCTATAATGACCTTTGCTATCACGACTTTTGACTTAATGATCTTTGTATCCATGGGTTATGAGATAAGAAGCATTTTCACATTGTCTTAAATTGCCATTACTCATAACGTTGAAAAGAACTTGTAACAATTAGGAATCTAAAAACTTTGAGATTTGATGAAAGATTTATTGTTGTGTGGTGGATCAACAGTCATTTGTTTCGATGGAGAAATTAGGTCTATTAATTAATATCTCACCTTATCGAATGCCTTCCATAGGTCATCACTTGTGGCACCAGCGAACTGATGATTCGTCAAATACTCCTAAAGAAAAGAGATGCATTGATACAGGTTATTTCATAACAAAGCAAGCAGACTGCACGAAATACAGAAAACATAGCATACTGAAGCAAGAAGGAAACAAAGAAAAAAGGATTGCAAACATTATTTTTGTTTCTCGTCTCCAATAAAACATCGAAACGTTCGGTTGAAAAATTCAGTCTTAAAAATGAAATTTACCAACAAAAGCAAATATGTTTTGTGCTTGGAAAGTTACCTTTAGACCTTCTCTGAACTTCTTGACCCCCAAAAAATGATCCAGCATTCTTATAATGGACGATCCCTGAGAAATAAAGTGAAATTTTTCTTGAGCAAAGTGTTTACAATAGAGTTCTAAAGTGATGATGTCACAGAAATCTATTTTTGGAATTTTTTAATTTGGATCCCATAACCTGAAGGAGCATCATGAAATACCTCTAAATGTGCAAAATCAGGCAAGTGTATTACGAAATGGCAGAGATATGGCCACATGTTCATTGGTTCTCTCCCCATCAAACCTCTGTATTTTGGTCTCTGTTCATAGCTTCATGAACAGAGCCAAAATAACAGTGATTTGTTAGCAAACTTCAAATCTTTCATTAGCCATATCTCAACTGATTTTAGACATCTTTTGCGTATTTGAAAGTATTTCATGGTGAACTTTTACGCTATGTGGTTAAAATTCAATAATTCTAAAAATAGGTTTTTGATGACGTCACACTTTAGAACTCTATAACAAATAAATATGGCTCGTTTTTTAATAAATGGTGATAATACTAGAATGCAACTAGAACGAATGAATTTTTTCTTTGGGACGCATTCCAAAGATCAGCATTGTTTGCCTTTCTGAAATATAAAGCAACAAAATAGGCCAGTTTTGGTGTCTCTTGTTGGCTCTTGGTGTCTCTAGGTTTATTATTTATTATTTTTATCAGGCATTATCTGAGGATAATTGAAAACTTTACTACGACTTAACTAAAGTTCTTAACTAAAGTTCTTAACTAAAGAGAAATTCTAGGACTTAACTAAAGGACTTAACTAAAGTTCTTAACTAAAGAAAAATTCTAGGACTTAACTAAAGGACTTAACTAAAGGACTTAACAAAAGTTCTTAACTGAAGAGAAATTCTAGGACTTAACTAAAGGAGCTTTTGAAACTGAAAAAAGAGGACAATTGTAGGATAGGACTGAAGGGAACTATTGCGAAGGAGACAGAAAACCTTCATTTGGGTCCAGGGCTCCGGGACACATGGTGAGAAGGTCTTACCATATTTGGCATTTCCGGACTCTCTTCTTATTACGCCCTCCCGTCGCCAGTATTGATTAGAGTTAGATACACGAGGCATGGAGAGAGGTTCTCTCTCTTGAGTATAAATAATTACTTCATCATATATATATTTTCTTGTTAGAGAGCATGAGTCTCTCTGTGGTACACACCTATGTCCCGCCCAAGTCACAATAGGAACTTTTAAAATTGTACTAGCTGAAAATCACAAAACTGTAAATATTTGGCTGTATCTATTGTAACTTGATTTGACCGTCCTGTTCTGCACAACAAGGCGTGTACATTCCTCTCTTGAAGGCCATCAAATACTCTTCAACGGACACCAAAATTATTACCTCCATTTTATAGGCAAAGACTAAAACAATTCTAGAAAAACAACATCAAAAAATGCTAGGTAGCTTCTCAAACATGATCAACAGGGCCTAGGATTTCATGCACTCTTCATGAATCTAAAATGGCGTTACCTTTCTGTATGTGATTGAGTCGAAGATTTCTTTTATCTGCTTAGGATGAGACACGGGCAGTGAGATGGCATGTGACGACGCAAGAGCATCAAGGGACATGCCGCTCCTCCAATCATAAATAAAGAACTGTGTCATCTAGAAGCAAAAAGACGGGGGTCGAATAATAGATTTTTCAGAAGTAAGAAATGGTAAGGGTTCTTAGGGGCGTAGTGCAAGGTAGCTGGCGACTGTATAGGTAGCTGGGAGGGTTAGGGTTAGGGTTAGGGTTAGGGTTAGGGTTAGGGTTAGGGTTAGGGTTAGGGTTAGGGTTAGGGTTAGGGTAAGGGTTAGGGTACGGGTTACAACTTCAAACGGGGCAGTACCATTAATATTGGATAAAACACTATCAATTAACTTTGGTGTGGTGGGGTCAAGACGTTCGACATTTTATATTGAAAAAGATCGCGGCAATTAAATTGAAAATATAGATAAATAAAGGTGAGCTGCTAATATAGATATCTTAAGTTTTGCGTCAAAGTTCTAGTAAAGGAAATGAAATCTTCTAAAGGAATTTGGATTCTCACCATCTTCCAGTCAGGATGGACTTTGTCAACTGCATAGTACTCGATGTAACTCGCCATACCCTCCTGAACCCACAGGTCATTCCACCATTTACACGTTACAAGGTTGCCAAACCACTGCAAAAAAAGATGTCACAAGTTTTTTACCAAAACGCTGGCAAAAGAGACGAAAATTGTCAGGTCCTTCGAAATGAGCCCCCAGCAATAATCATTTCCACCTTGATAACAGGCTGTGAATGGAAAACTGAAGATGCTTCTAAGCAACCCCAATCTTCATGCCCTTTTCTAGGCCCAGTACCCCCCCTGACCTGACCTTGAACCCTATTCTATGACTGTCAACTTTATTTCCCGGCTGTCAATCTTATTTCCCGGCTGTCAATCTTATTTCCCGGCTGTCAATCTTATTTCCCGGCTGTCAATCTTATTTCCCGGCTGTCAATCTTATTTCCCGGCTTATGAAATTCTGCAGTGATTGGTTTGAGATTCTCTCAATGCTCCTTCCCGTCCTGCCGCGCAGTGCCTTATCAGTTACTCACCAAATGGGCGCATTCGTGGGCAACAATGGTTGCAATATTCTCTTTGTTTCCTTCAGAGGATATCCCCTTGGTGTACAACAGCCTCGCTTCTCTGTAGGTGATGACCCCCCAGTGCTCCGTAGCGCCTGATCCATAGTCTGGTATAGCAACGAAATCTACAGAAAAGCATTTAAAAATACGAATTATTAGAAACAATTACAGAGATCTACTTACTTTGTATCCTATACAAAAGAGGATATTTTATTACATTCATTGCTTTTAAAAGACTAGGCTCGCGCTTTGGACCCTACTTGACATTGACCATGCTACGTTGGGAGAGTAATGTATTTTTCTTTTAAAAATAATTTTTAGCAGGGCACCTTGAAAAGCAATCGTAACAGAATGAAGGGGCTACCGTACCCCCATATTCCTTTTACCCCTGATCAATGCCCCGCCACCTGGTTATCATGCACAATCTCTTGGTACCCAACTTGCTATGACCCCCTAATACACTGTGGGCTAAAATTTAGTGCCATAGATAGAGTTGAAGAATAAACACAATTTAATTGGTTAGGCTGAAAATTAAATCCCAATAGAGGACGGTATAACATCAATTTTGACCCGTTCTAATCCATCCCTGATTGCTTTAACATCCAAGATACAACTGTGAAATACCTCAAACCAAGCAATTTCATACATTCCTACTTTAAGGGCTAGAAAAAGTCATGGACAAAGCAACATCAAAATGCAGCCGAAACATGATAATTCAACTAAGCTTGCCTAATCTCGGTACTGCGTTTACAGCAGATGGTGGTCTTCAAAATGTCACGATTTCCCCATTTACTGTCCTTGAATCACTGACTTACCCCATGCTCTCTCATTTGCTCAATCACTCGCCCCATGCTCTCTCATTTGCTCAATCACTCACCCCATGCTCTCTGTACACGTTCTCTCGGACCCCTATTTTACTTTAATTCCCCCCTATTTCAAATCTGCTTGCAAATTCGTGGACAGGGCCTCTTATCAGTCTGCCAAAATAATGAAGCTATACGCACCTAGCTTTGGCATTGGGTACACAACACCAAAAAAGTCTTCTAAATACGTCATCATCTCTTTGCCAAGCATCAAACTGTAGTCTGTGTTGTTAATTTGTGGTGGGCTACTGTAAACGCTCATCTAAAAGGAATATTCTACTGTTTGAAGATGGCGCAAAATGGCAGGAACTTAGCATATTAGCATGCCATGCCTGCGCTATTTCGCGCGATCTTCACATTTTGCAGTACCAAAAATAAGTTTGAATGTTCTAGAATCAAGAAGCTCCATATTCAAAATCCATCGCAAAAAATTTTTAAGCGTGCTTTTTTACCCAAACATTTCTGGTTAGTCAAACATAAACTGAGAAAGGATAACTGGATGACCAATCAGTGCCGCGCTGATTGGTCAACCCCAACAGTCATGTGCTCGTGTTTCTGATTGGCCTATTTCGATCCACAACTGGGTATATATATTTCCTAGCGTAGAGTTTTCGATCTATGTTCTGACGTTTTAAACTTTGAAAAGTGTCAGACGAAAAGCTTTAGTTTACTAAAAGTTCGCTATTTTCAAAGCCATTTTCAAGTTTTGTACCACCAAAAAATTGTTTGCATATTTCAAGCAGAGGTACACAAAATAGGAGGTTGAGGATCTCAACGCATTGGACAAACATCTCTCTTGCCAACCGATAATGTTCTCATAATCAAGAAATTATATGACCATCAAATCACATGATCAATTCTTATCATGGCATCAGTCGATCATAAAGTTGAAGAAATTAATGATGTCATCAAATGATTTCCTAAATCACTAATCTCTTGACTGATCAAATGACTGAATCCTTCGACGATTAAGATCACTTACAGTAATATTATTCCCAATTCCAGCAATATTTTGCTTGTATTCAAAATCACAAACAATGAATGCAATCAGATATGTGGACATTCGCACGGTTTTGCCAAACCTCGTTGTCGTCCAGCCTCCTGTGGTGGCTCTTGAAGTAACTGGCATATTGGAAAGTGCCTTATATTGCGATGGGTGGGTCATGGTGACGTTAAAACTGGCTTTCAAATTTGGCTCGTCTAGGCAAGGATAGGCTTTGCGCGCGTCCGTTGGCTGAAATTTCGTTGTCAGCAGCGTTCTAAGAATAAAAGAACGTTGTCAGGAGTTTACTATAATCTGGTAGATATCTATGTCTGCAAACAGTACTATAGGAAGAAAACATTATTTTAAACACTGATGCTGCCGAGATGCCTGATAGGGGAATAAGAGCACGAGTGTGATTAGAGAAATTAACGAGGTTGAAGGTTTGGAGAACTGCAATACGGGTAAGGTGACTGAAGAAGAGGAGATGTGGAATATAAAAGAAAGGAAGAGAGAGATATGATTGAAAAGGAAGAACAAGCAGGAAGAAGAGGGAGAATGAGAAGAAGAAAGAAGAAGAAGAGGAAGAAGAAAGCCAAGAAGAAAGAAAAGAAGGAGGAGAGAGATTTAGATGAGAGGACAGACTAAACAAAGTTGGAGAACGAGATTATTTATAAGTGTGAGTTGGCTGAGAATGGGACAAAAAATACCACAAAGAAGTGAGGAAGGACAAGATGAAATCAGAAAAATTTAATTTGAATTTAAATTTAAAGAATAAAGCAAAGGACCACAAAAGAAATATAACTTTAAATAGAGGAGTACACTGATGTCGACGTCGAAATAGGAAGAATCTATTCCAAATTCTGTGGTGATGATGTTGAGAACGATTTATTTTTAGAACTTTTGAGGTTGGACTGCCAAACCTGAAAGACGCCACAGAAGACCTCTTCAGGTATAAAATCGGATAAATGTGAGACCAATTGGCTGAAAGTTAGCCAGGTAAAGATTGGACGCTTACGTAAGATAATATTTTGATTTCGGGCCAGTTTCATGGCAGTTAAGCATACAAGTAGCCTGCTTAATGGGGATGCTCAGCCTTAACCAATCAATGTACAAGTGGCGTCGTCTTAACCAATCAAATCGCAGAGTAACTGAAATCATATCAGCATGCTGTCAGCAGTTTTAATTGATGTGTATGAAACTGCTATCTATGAACCATGGGGGTAGTTAGGATTTTGACATTGGAGGGGGGGGGGGATTCTTTAAAAAACATATAGAAATGACTATATTAAAAAAATGACGTACAGAAGTAATATAAAAACATGTACAAACCAACGCAGTCATAGAAGAGAGGGTTAAGGGGCAACAAGCCTGTGCTCAAGACCCCTAACTTCTGGGAGACAGGCTAGGGGCAACATGTCCTCATGCAACATGTCCTACATCTGCACATTGCAATTATTTGTTTGTTATCTACATCTACATCTGCACATCTGCTACAAATACTTGCTCTTCGATTTGCAAACGTTTTGGTTTGGGGACTCTCTAGGATAGTTTGGGGCCCAAGCCCCCCTGCTCTCTCTCACTACACCCCATGATCTGAACACATTGCTTTTTGAGTCAAAACAAAACGCCTTACACATTTTCTGTCCTAACATATCATTAAATGAAGTGATGATCGCGTCTAAGAATATTTTAAATGAACCATACTGACCTTGTTTTTCCCATTTGGTTTTTGTAAGTACTTTTGTAAAACCCGGTCAATTTAATTGAAACGTTTGCCATGAAATGGATCTCTGCCTCGTAATCACCAATTGGCATTTCAGCCTCAGTTTCGATCGCAAAAAACTCATTCAGAGGCTTTGGTAGGCCTGATTTGATCTTGATTTCGGAAGATCTTCCTTTTGTGAAGATCCGCCACCCAGTTATCATCATTTCTTTGTAATGGAACAAAAAGTACTTTGTCGATTTCGTCACTTTGAAAAACCTGGAGAATAAGGAGACATAAAACAGTGCAATTACTGGCAAAAAAATGTTTTGTTCACATCTAAGTGGATTGTGTTGGGTTGCAGAATAGATTAAAAGAAGAATTCAAAGTTGCCACATTCTAACGTCGCTTTTGTGAAGACGTGCATTTTGGGTAAATGGTTCAACTAGCATCTATACCGAGTGCCTTCTAAGAAAAACAACAGCAAACAATAAAATAAAATAGAATAAAATAAAATAGAATACGATACAATACAATACAATGCAATGCAATGCAATGCAATACAATGCAATGCAATACAATAAAATACACACACAACGCAATACAATGCAATGCAATACAATACAATACAATACAATGCAATGCAATGCAATGCAATGCAATGCAATACAACACAATACAAAACAACAACACACAATACAATACAATTAAATACAATACAAGACAATGCAATGCAATGCAATGCAATACAATACAAAACACATGTTCCTGGTTTTATATGAAAATATCAGCTCTACTTACATTGTTTGGGTCCCATTGAACTTCAGTCCATCAACATCGGCCTTGATAGCAAGGTTGTAATGGTATGGTGTGACGTCACCGGGCAGTCGCACATTACACCACGGTCCACCGGTACATGGTGGCTTCGTAGGAGCATTGGTTGGACCTTGCGTTGGCGCCTTTGATGGGGCCTTTGAAGGGGGTCTTGTTGTTTTATCTGGGGGGAGAGCAAAGTAAACCCTACGTTACTACAATACTGTGATATGTCCGTTACTGTATTATGATTAACTTGTTAGCAGAGATAGAACAAATTTTAAAAATTTTAGATCTTAACTGATCACAAATGTCCTACAGTTATTATTCAAAACGCAAGTAAGTTGTTCGTGGATGGAGAATGAATTTCAAATTTTCTAATTACTGAGATCTTCACAATCTTTACTATCAGTGATTCAAAAAGAGGTGTTTTGTACAAAGGCCATTTCTCTGAGACAGTGGCGGATTTAAGGGCGGGGGGTAACTAGAGGCAGTTTCCCCTCCCTCAACGAGTAGAAGCAAATCTGGCGCCCCTTTTTTGGAAATTTTGCGCCCCTTTTGAAGAATGAGAATCAGGTGAAAAAGTTTCTGAGACCTATAGGTTAATATACTTCAAGGTTTACCTTAAAGTTATGTTGTTTATTCTGAAAATAGATATGAAATTGTTGTATACAGCGTACTCTCGTCACCAATTTTTGAAAATTTTTCAATGCCCCTACTACCGACTGCCCCTCCTTCAAATTTGCTCTGGATCGGTCCCCTGCTCTGAGAAAATTCTTCCCTTGCCCCGTTCTGCTCCAAGCACTTTGGCTAGAGCTTTAAATTGTAAAATGTTCTGTCCTTATTCAAAACTAACATCAATAAACTTGATCTTACCCCCTTCTCTCACCCCAACCCCTCCCACTTGTTCATTGTTAGGGCATAGCTTTAGGCTCTCAGAATTTTCCGTAACATCATCGATTAAAAAAATTGTTTTAGATCATCCAGAAAATATGGGGGTCGCATTTGAGAACAATGGGAGTAAAAGGGACGATTAATAGGAAACAGAGCCTTGGGTTCAGTTTTTTGCCATTCTCTTTCACCACATGCGCGTTTACTACGAAAACATGCGAGTAACAGGAACAATTTAATATTTTGAAGCAAAAATACTTTATTTGAAGAGAAAAAGATGAAGCATCGGTTCCAGAGTGGGATTTAGCCCTTAAACGCAAGTCACTTGTGGAGTTCTTTGTGAAGCTTCTCTGCAGACAGATGAATTAACGAAGGTGATTTTGTGGTGGCTAGGTGGAAAACATGGAGCATGGAAAACTGAGAATATTGGAAATGGTATGAAACAGGTGTGTTTTAAGGAATTGCTTGCAAACAGAGACCACAAGCAGTGGCGGACTTAGGGGGGGGCAACTAGGGGCAGTTGCCCCTCCCTCAACGAGTTTAAGCAAGTCTGGCGCCCCTTTTTTAGAAATTGTGCGCCCCTTTTGAAGAATGAGAATCAGATGTAAAAGGTTCTTGGACCGATAGGTCAATTTGCTTCAAGGATTACCTCAAAGTTATGTTATTTATTCTGTAAAGGTATCTGAAATTGTTGTATACAGCGTACCGCTTAACTTTTAGCCGGGAAAAAGAAGCAATTTTTATTCTTCTCCTTGCAACAATTGAAACGTATCAACATTTCTGTAGAAGCTGAACTTTCATCTTCATATAAACGTATTTATATTTTGACCACACCCTTAATGAACGAGACACGCCATTTTTGGTTGGCAAAATCACTTCTTTACCTGTTTAAAAACTCTTTTGTTTTCGCCCCTGTCGCTATGGGGGCGTGAGGGTGTGACCTCCCCGAGAAAAATTCCGTTGCAAAAGCAAGGAGTTTTTGTCAACTTGGGGTGCGTAGTTGGCAAATTTCCGAATTCGTTGGAAAATAAAGGATGGCTCGCCCAGATGGTCGGCAAATTGGACTTGGAAGCGACGGCCCTGCTCAAACTTGCTAGCAGTGGCGAAAATTGCGGGGGTGTGGGGGGCGACCGCCCCCAGGTTTTGGTCAATTATCGGTTTTGTCGGTAAAATAGTGTCATTACGGCAAATTTGCTTGCTGTGGGCATTGCCCCCCTCCCCACTTGAAAAATGAATTTTCCATTCCAGGATTCCATGCTTTATGTTTTCAAGATATTCTTTCAAGTACTACATGAAAGGAAGAAGGAAATGGCCAACTCTCTTCGTCACTTTTGCCGGAAGTAAAATGAAAGGAGATCGAGAAAAGCTTTAAAAATGAATGAAAAATCCTGTTCTAAAACAGCTTGTTTGCACGTGAATTAAACCATTTATGCGAGTGTTGGCTTGCTAAAAAATCTCCAGGAGGTGCCAGAAGGAAGAGATCGCAATAAAAAGACAACGGTAGATTTTAACGCACGGTGGCGGAAATTCTAAATTTGACTGTATAGTGGCGTCGTAACGATTCTTAAAATTTTCGGATGTAAATGAAACAATTTCATTATAATCAAAGTTTAATTGAGCGTTAATCAGTTGGTGGAAAGTGAAGAACGATCTAATTTCAAAAAGCTGTTAAGGATAATTAGAATATTAATGACAAAGCAATTTGTGGCCCAAAAGATCAAATTTTGGCATCCATGAAAAAAATACTCGAGCATATTTTTCTGTGTGGCATATTTGATAGCAATTTCACCCCCCCTGTTCGGTGTGAATTTCATGCAAATAAAGTAGCCTTCAAGGTTAGGGTGGGGGGGCTAGCTCCAACTAAATATGAAATACCTAGAACATCAAAGTTTTAATAAACAATCTCACAAAGTCAGTTAAGGTCACAGTTATTTGAATCTTGCTATTTAAGGTATTGGAATAACGGAAGGTTTCTTGGAACTGAGAGTTAAGTCCTAAAATACTTTCGAGGCAGTTTCGCCGTGACAAAACATTTCTGAACCCAAGTTATCGAGAACCAGGCATATATTACTACGTCAAATTTTGAAGAATATGCGCGCGCAATTTTGTAGCAAAAGTCACAACAGGAGCTGTATTGAGAATTTAGGGATGGCGAAAAAGGGGGGTTAGCGGGGTTTATAACCCCAGAGTCCTTGTGACGTTCATCAAGAGCCCATACCTAGGTTTCACCCCGGGACCAGAATTGACTTACGACGAATCAAGCAGTCGCAAATACGAATATGGCGAAACAAACGACTATTCCACATTGCAAATATTTCCCGTTACGTTACGAATTCCATGTTACGAGCTTACACGGATGAGGAGACACGATTCGCACCTGCAATACTCTTAGCAAAAGCAATGTGTATCAAAACAATTTTCTTACCTGTATCTCGCTTGACCATAGCATTTGCATAACGTTCGTCCGCAAGTTCCTTCTCCCGTTTTGCAGATAACACCCCAGAGAGAATACCAACAAGAAATATAACGACCACTACAGCAAGAACACCGATCCAGAACCTTGACTTCTTGATCTTCACGAAACCTGGATCGCTGGAAAACATCTTTTCACTTGAATTCATTTGCTCCATGTCGCACGGGCAAGGAAACTCAAACGGATCATTGAATGTGGCTTCACTGACTTTGATTCACAGTCGGCCGCGGCGCGAATCCAGGGGGGTGTGTCACCTGGCAGCGGGACGTTTGCCAACCATTTCGCCGTTTGCCAACTTCCACGATACCTCGTTCTAGCTGTCCGTGTTTCTCCTACACTCAGGCACGCCGGAGCCAGTGGCATCGCCACGAGGTGGACTGGGCTGGATATATCCACCCTAGTTTTCCGAGAAGTCGCTTTTCTAATTTCTCAAAATCCGTTGAAAAAACCTTTAGTTGGGCTGAAAATAGCGATTTCGATTTTCGCACTGGCAAAAAAGCCGCTGTTGCGAAAAATGCTGCTTGAAAAAGTTGCTTGTCCAAAAAATTTTCAAATAAAAAATAGCACTTCCATGTACGTAATACCGGACACTCTTTCAGTGCTCACCACGAACTGTACCAAAACTCATCCATAGCCCCCACCCAACCCCCATCCGATCCCCATTCCACCACCCATCCCCCACCCCATCCCCACCCATCTTAACCCTCTTTCTGTTTCCCAGACTCTTCTGTCCTGTCGTTATTAAAAAAAATCAAAGAGCCTGACCTACCCCCCCCCTCTTTTCCAACCCCCTTTCCCTTATTAGGGCTTTGTTAGAGTCCTCTTGCCCTTTTCCTAACATCACCGACTGAAAAAAACACCTATTGGATAAAATAATGGGATAAGAGGCGATCGAAAGCGGGTCCATTCAATCTTTGTTTATTTCAAAGATAAATTTATCGATAAAATTTCATTTCCCCTCATATACGGCTTCAAGATGATGAATCATGATTATGATTATGTTCATGATGGTGAAGAATTTCAATGACCCCCTGGATGCAATGAAGACACGTTAAAATCCATTTCAAAATGTTACTTTACACCGGGCGATAAATCTTAATGAGCATGCAAATACAATGTGGATAAACCGTATTTCCGCCAGTCAATTAAACTCGGTTTGAGACAAGGAGCGAAAAGGGAAATATTGAAACCATTGCTACACAGGCCCACAGAGTATAGGAGACAATCACCTTCAGGAGGGGGTGGGGGGGGGGGTAGCTGACGTGGGACGATTGAGCTTCAGTAAAATGCATTTTTGAACAACGTTTTTTCTCAAAATCGAGGATTTTTACCGATGTGTGGGTGCTTTTTCGGTGAATATTGAAATTTGTCAGCACATTAAGGCTGTCTCACTCACTTTGTTGGCAAATGAGGACTGAACACTTCCTTAGAGCGAAAAAGCTAGCAATAGCACTGCTTACACCTTCTTAATTTAAGAACAAATTAAGAACAATCCAACCTCAGATTTTCGGAAAAATTAAGAACAATCAGCCTGAACTTAAATTTACTGGTTCTTATGAAAGAGAGTGTATATTATATCTTTAAAAGGTGTTGTCATGGACACTGAGATGAGCCAAACAGTTCTCCTGCCTAGTCCGTTTAAAGTGAAAATGCATGAATTAGTAAAACTGACAAATTTAAAGTTTCGAAGAAAACAAAACGAGACAAACAGGAAAAAAGATATAGACAAGGCAAAGTGAAGAAACGTTCATATAGCCATGATTTTGATAAGAAACTATTTGGAGTTGGAGGTCATATTTTTGAATAATTCGTTTTCATTTCAGTGGAGCTGCATAAGCAGAGTAAAAAAATACTTTCGAGGCAGATTCTTTGTGATAAAATATTTCTGTGCCCATCTTTCGAAACGAGGGCATTCTATCACAAAAATACACTTAGATCTGTTAGCTTACCCTGGGTACCAGGGCCACACAATCTTGAGCACGTAAAAAGAAAAGAAAAGCACCTACAGAGAAGAAGGAGGGTTAGCCCGGAGCCACATTTCCTTCTTCTCTTCTTCTATACACGCGGTGGAAATTGCGTGCCTCTGGTACCCAGGGTAAATTTCAGAATGATATCACAGTGACGTCACGATGAAAAATATTTCATTTGGTTACTCAAATTCCCCTATTTGGACGAGGTTCAGTTCTAAATGCAACCTTCTTGGGTTCCTATAATGATTTTCAACGGTTGGGGTAGGCCCCAGAAAGCTACCATATGCGAAAGATACTCCTTTGTTATTATCAAAGCAGAAAGACTAACCAAAAACGTGAAACACAATAACATAAATTATAAATCATATATAAAATAAACAGAAACAAATCAACAAACAATAAAGACAATGTTGTCATTACCAGATACCTTACTAAGTTGGTCATATCCATGGGTACCAGATCCCTGAAAGAAGATAGGCACCGCGCAGCCATTGGGCTAGCAGGGGCTATAATCCCCCCCCCCCACTTTTTTGCAATAATAGGCTACAAATTTTTTGGGAAGGTTTACTCTTATGCAACTTTGGATAGTTTACTCCTATGAAGTAGCAGTTATCATTGACTGGAAACCATTTTTGTTCATTTTCTAGGTGTTTCATCTTGTTTAATGATATGATGTATTTTTTAACCTGGTCAGCTTGATTTTTTATTACCCTCGAGTAAATTCTATCTATTTTTATAGTTATTGATATCTTCTCTGAACCAGACTGTTCATTGAGTAGAAATAAGCAAGAATTTTCTAAAAGGGGCGTTTTCCGGCGTTCTGGAGGGCATGGCCTCAACAATTTTTTGATACACCTTTTTCAGCCCCTCCACTTTTAGACTGGTGCGCGGTCCTTAAGAAGATGATGGGGTTTTGTAGATCGATCCAGTAGCGATAGTTTTCTCAGACAAGATTCGAACTATATTTCTGAGACTCTGGCACCCAGGGTAATCATTACAAGAATAAAAAAGAAGAACATAGAAACAAAAAAATTGGTTGGAAGCTGAGCAAATGCATTGATATTCAGAAGAACGGTTAATAAAAATCATTTTAAATTGGTGTTGGCTTTGATTCGAATTATGATGATCATGATGATTTTGAATTCGATTGATAATTTTTGACGTTGAGACCTTAGAGACATAAATTCTATTAAATTTGTCAATGCGTTTTTCCTGCGTTGAATACTATGATCTACAAAAGAAGCAACTGGTTTGAATTCACTTTCCTGGAGTCCAGCGTCAACCAGGAGGCCAGTTCATCAGTCTCCCACCAAGTATGTGGATGTGAAGATGGAATACAGCTTGGGCGCCATCTCGACCATCATTGATCACTAGGAGGTGAAAAATACTTGATAGACTGAAGATGGTAAAGCAATGGGGTCAATGAAGGTACTGCTGGAGACCCGGGGGAGCTTTGCGGTGCCACTGGAGACATGGGGGATGCAGCTTTGGGGCAAATCGAGGAGCAAATTACTCCATGTAAACAGGATCGTAGAAACCATTGGCGGACACCTTGGAGTGAAGGGGCCAATATTTTTTGGGGGGGCAATGGTCTTTTGCTCTAAAACAATGGGAAAATGTGACATCATATGATCTGGTGGAGCTTTTGGGACTCACAAATCCAAGCAAGGAGCAAATAAATCCATGGAAACGGGATCTTAGAAACAATAATTGTTCCAACTAACTATACAGGCAAAGCAAAAGAAAATAATTGGGGGAGGGGGGGAGTTGTGAAGATCCCGAGAATAGCCAACAAGAATGGCATTCCTGAAATGTGACCAAACTGCTTATATACAACAAGGCTAAACCGCTTTAAGAACACACAGACAATTTTTAGGCAGAACAGAGTACAAAACATGCATGAATTTGTTTATCCTTATTCGTATATCCATACATTTGAAAATATTGGAGCAATAGACAAACTTTACCCCTCCTTTTGCTATGCCTCTGTACATAACCCACAAAAATTGATGCAACAAATTAATGGTAACATACCCAATCGATATCCTGTTTTGCCAAGTCCTTGGTCAATGGCGACCTTCTTTGCAACCCAAAGCAAGTGGCCAAGTAGCTGCAAAAAGTGATTTGAATTGATTCAAACTGATTGGGAGCTAATAACTGATCAAATTAGTAACTTTTATTCTTACCATATAAAAGGCCTGACAGCAGTGTACCTGTTTTCATAAATGTCATTTACTACAGTCTGTTTGTTCCATTAATTTTTCCACCCTTCAACAAGCATGTTATGATTTCTGTTTCCAACCTTTTCAACATGGAAATTTTATATTCATAAGTGATCTTAGAAATCAGGAACAATCCTGGAAACTTAGTTTTGAGAGGTTAGAAGAGAAGAAGAGGGGTAGCTGGAAGTAGGCTTGCAAACCTTGGGATAAAATGAGTAATTCATGTTTGATTGATAATTATTCATCAAATGTTTTGTTATGTTAACTAAAGCAAAAAGAGTATTTTATATTGATTAGAATATTTCTGTGCACCAAATTTCCCTTGAGAAATGCCAGTTCAACACTTTAAGACTTAGTTTAAGTAATTTTCTAAAATAAATGTTAAAACAGAAACCTACTTACTAAGAAGAAAAATATGGTGACTCTACTTACTGGCACATCATCATCATCGCTCTTTGATAACTGTGGTATCGGCTTTCTTGGGATTACCAGCAAATGTTTTGGAGCGACAGGGTTGATGTCATGAAATGCAATACACTAAAACGAAAATCAGTGAAATAATGGCTGAACTACTCTGCAATCGAGACCAGCAACAATGCTTATATATAAATTGGTACTATATTACAATATATGAATTCCATAACACATTACTATAGCATAATATTTTGGGTCACTAGCAGTGCAAGCTGCAAGCAAAAGAAGTCTAGCGTCACTGCAAGCATATGCAAGTTTTCAAGCCTGGTTTGTGTCAGATATTTAAAAAGTACAGCCAGCAGTGGCTGCATCAGCTGATGCAGAGTGGGGGTGGGGGGGGGGTAAAGGCTTCACTGAGACCGTGCCTTTTGCCTCTTTTCAGTGCTGTGAACTGAGTGAATTTTCCTTCTGGGGAAAAATGTGGGGAAAAAAACCTAATTGTATCATCTCAAATAACAAAAAAATCAAGTTATTCTACAGATTTTTTTGCTAAATGTGGGATAAAATTTTGCAACAGATCTTCAAAAAGGTCGATAAGATATAAGGAGGCCACTACTTCACTGTTGGAAGATTTATGTTCTATATAATTAGGAATAAAATATTTTTGGGTAAAATCATATATTACCTTATCGTCTTCGTAAACTATGTCAGCCTTTATTTCTTTCCTAAGGATTTTGGCGAAAACAGTTTCAAATACTTGTTGTCCTGGATTCGCCTTTCTTGCTTCGTCGGCTAAAATTGCATTCTTGACTTCGTTGTTGCAACCTTTTTCGCTTGAACACGAGTTTTTCGCACAAACAGAAAAAGGAGAAATGGATAGTGCTGCTGCAGTGTAAATAATTGTCTTGTAGTTAAGTGTATGTCGTGTTAAACTCTTGAGAGACGAGTAGCTTCTCCAAAACGCCATTTTGAAAAAGCAACAACAACAAAAACATTGGAATGCTGGGTAAGCTCCTCCACAGTCAATTTTTGGAGTTCATGAAAAATAAATTCTTCCCAAAAACGTTTTGTTTTCAAAATACAGTATGATAAGATTTGTTCATCTAACGATCCAAAGCTCTCCTGGACCATTTATTTAAGTTTTTTAAGAGAGCCATATTATAACTGCAAGTTCTCTTCAGTTCATTAATTTCAAATTTCCATAACTGCTTACAAAAATCCTTTAAAACATACAACAATTAACTAAAATTATAGCAAGATTACAAAAGACAAAATAGGCTAGTAGGCCTTAGATCTTACGGATAGAAGGAAGTTTTTATGCAGGAAAATCTTATATGTTGTACGTGCTATCTCAGCAGGTAAACTATTCGGGGAGAGATCATATCCTGTATTAAAAACATAAAATATTGATCAATCAGGGAGATTGTTTCAATTGTTTCCAGCCTGAACTTTCTGATAACTTTCTGATTATTGTTTTTATTTCAACGTTGAGTTTTCTACTACTATACACTACTTTAAGTATTTTTAAGACCCCTGAATAAAGCTTCTGTGTGCTTTTTCAAAATTATGGTTTATCTACGGATAGAATCTCCCCTTCTTTGACAACTCGAGAGAAAACTTAAAACACATTTTATTCTTTATTTCGTTCTTAGGTTAGGCATGTTCATGGAAGAAGCGTACACTATTTGGTTAAACATCTTTGTGTTTTTTTAGAATTAAACCCCTGCCCCTACTCGATGCAACCCCTGCACTTAGGGACCGATTGAAGCGTCAAGGATGGGGGTTGCTAGATAATTATTGGTTTTTGTGCCACACCCTTCAGATTGGTAGCGCAAATTTTTAGATTTCAGTTTGTAGTTTTGAATAAAGAAGACAAATAAAGGAATTTTTTTGCACCATTTTATTGCAACTGATTGCCAGAAAGTGCCGTTCAATTAGGAAATTTACCGAAGTAGGAAGGACACAAAAATATAAAAGGGGAATCGCACCCCCCCCCCCTACACCCATTCCCTGTAAATCTGTCCCTGCCTGCGCTGAAACCTCTCAGCTTTTATCATTTTTTGCAGAAACAAATTTCAGTTTAAAAATTACAACCGAGTTTTACAACAACGAAAGACTTATCCTATTCAAAATTCCCAAAAATTCCATTGCGATGAGTCAGTATAATTTGTACATTGTTATTCAACAAAAGAAAATAGTTTGTTTAATTTAAGATGCGGACAAGAAGTTTGATTTAACCATAATCAAGCTTTTTACTCTTCAGCTTTCTGATATCTGCATTTCAAAGTTTTAAAAGATTTGTTGAAGATTATTTTTGGAAGGGTGAAACTAAATTAAGATGGGTGTCTCTATTTTCTCTCAGTCACTTCAAGTTTCACCAATCACATTAAAGTTTAAGCTACTTTGATACTCCATTAACTGTTATCGTTTTGTCTTATTGTTAATCATTGTTTATATTCGCCAATTGCGGGCTTAGAATTATTGTATAAACCAATAAAATCGGAGCAGCTCTCTATTTTGTAGCTGCGTTTAAAATGGCATTCAGAAAGTGATCAACAATATAGGAACGGAAAAGCGTTCAAGTAATGGTGTAACAGCGATTTGAACATGGTGCAGTTAATTAAACGAAATTTGGCTTTAACAGCCGCTCTGGTTGGAGTTTTGGAACTATTGAGTGCGTTAGGATGCTTAATAACAACGCTGCTGCTCGGAAATGTTACTAACACCGACTTACAAGCAGGACAGTTATATGCGAAATATTACGACTCTTCATCTCCAACTCGCAGATTTGGAGAGAATGGCGGGACGTATTGGTGGATTGGTTTGCCGGTGAGAAGCTGTTAGATTTAGTAATTATTCAACGATTAATTGCGAATTAACTTCTTAAAGATACCAGCAAATGTTTTGAGGGAAGACCAGCCCCCGATCGTGTCTATTCCAAGGTTACAAGGTTGTTTTCATGTTGGGAAGGGCCTATTTTATCGTGTTCTGTTAACAAAACACACTTTTATGGCGATCAGAGTCGATGGATTCAAAATTTAACTATAGTTAAGTGTGCTGAAATTCGAGTTATGTCGCTGATTGTGCGTGAAACCACGATATCTGCATAATCATATGGAAAACATATGTTGCAGCAACCCGACCCAAGGTTCCTAAAATGCTGGATGCATTAAGACAACTTAACAGCAACCAATCCATGACGATTTCCTCTTGACCAAACATTTACCCCAGGGATTCCATGTAGGGTAGAAATCAGTCAACTCTTTCTATCGTTGAAGCTTCAAACTGTTTATATCACAAACGTTTATTCATCCACATGTGCGTGTAAGTGTGGCAAAAACGATCACTGAACATGAAAAGTTCATTCTGAAAATTACACAACTTATTCTATGCACAAATTAGAGTTTAAAATGCAATAAATTATATTCCTTTGGACTTCAAGCGTTTTGAGCCCTTAAAACTTTTTGCCTCTCCAGGGATCCCAGAAGTGGGGTACAGGAGATAAACTGCCCCTTTTGCCATTTGATAGGAGGGACAGGGGGGCAAGGCGAAGTTCCCTTTGTCTAAAAGTGCTCTTGGCATCAGCCTTTTGTCGTTACCGACAATATCAATGTGAATTCTGACTGTTGTGCCTTATTCCTGAGAAAATTTTCATCTTCCTTTGGACTGTCAGTGTTTGGAGCCCTCAAAATTTTTTAACCTCTCCAGGGATCCCAGAGACTGGGGTACAGGAGAGAAACTGCCCCTTTTCCCCTTTGATAGAAGGAACATTTACCCATTGCATACAATAAGATTTCTCATGTCAAAAGCTAGTCCATTTTCAATATGGCTACAGAATCAAAATAAGGTGACAGTTACTATATAGTAACTGTCACCTTATTTGATGCTGTATATACAAGTTCAAAGACCAGATGACAGATTAGTAAAACAGTAATTTTCATTTACATTTTATATAGATGCATATGATCTTAAATTTCTTATTTGTATGTATTCATAATGTCTTGATTTTCTAGTTTCTTCTTCCTGGCTTGATTGGCATTGCTGCATCTGCTACAAGGAGTTTCAGAGTGGTATGTGTCACATTTCACAAAGATGCAACAATTAGCAGACTAGTATTTAGATTATATGTTTTATGAAATTTACGTAAACATAAAATACCATGATAAATTTTATAGGGGTGAGGATTGCTCAGTGTTTAGGCTCCCTGAGTTCAGACCCAAAGATCCATGGTTTGATGTCCCTTTCATGTCTAAGCTTTCTGTCAGAGTAATGAGAGTCATTCTGAAGACCGCCGGCTCTCAGTAATTAAAGACATGTAATCACAAGATGTGGTCACATTGAGAGGAAGGACTGCTCGATAAGTTTAGCTTTTCAGTGTCCTAAAACTACCTTTAGTAGCTAGATAGAACCCAATGTGATATTATTTAAAGCTTTTAAAAAGGCCACGTTGCACAACTTATTAAAAATGTCTAGCAGTGTGAATTTGTGTCAGTTCTTTAATTTTTGCTTACACTTTCAATGAACAAATAAGGTGAATGTCCGTCTGTATCAGCATAGAACTGGTTTCAGCACTCAAAATTCAAGCATATTGCCTCTTTCAGAACCTTATTCTGATATTTTATTCTCTGATGAGTGTCATACGAAAAAGCTAGAGTTAATATGTTGTGAAATGTTTGCTTTTTTCAAAGCCATTTTAAAATTCTGTACTGCCTAAAATTTATTCATACATTATTTTCTTGTAGATGATTGCATTTATGGTTTCAAATGTCTTGTCATTCTTCGCTGGTATTGCATTGGCCATCTTTGTTGGCCTCTTTTATAACCTTTGGAAAGTCCCAATGACTGCATATGAGGCTAATAACTGCGTCTTTGAATATCACGAGCCGACTTCTAGAACTTTTTGTCAATGTGTAATCAGCGACAAGACTCATATTGAGTTAATGGATGCTGACAGAATGTGGGTTTATGGTATGCACTGATTTTCAGTCACTATTTTTTATCAGTCAACGTTTAGAAAATCATTCAACAATAATGTTGTTATTCAGAAATTAAGAGTTAGTTCCACTTTGCCCATTTCAAATTCTAACACTAGCCTATGGCAATGAGGGGACACATGCCCCTCCCCCCACTTTTCAGAAACAATGGTTATAGCCATCCTAGGGCAGCTTTTGGACCCTTTTGTAAAACTGTAACAATGTGCATTTAAGGTGATATGCATTTTAATGAGTTAAAAAAGAATTGTTTTTTCTGACTTAAATGTATTCCCTTATATGTATTCACTGATCACCAATCATTATTTGGTTCACCAATGAGTGCCACAACAATCTACATTAGGAAAATGACCATATATATATGATGCGTAAAGGCAATCAATTTTGAAATATTTTCCCTTATAAGACACTGATCAAAGAACTCTTTCTCTTTTACTGCATTCTTATCATATATTTCCTTTTAATTTCAGTTCAAGCTTGTGACGAGGTGGAAATCATTGCGATGATGCTGATTATCATCATAACAATGGCAATTCTGTCATCATTTTTGGCCCTTTGTTGCAGCTATATTGCTTGCTATGCCCTGCGATTCCCAGAAAAACCTGTAAGTATGATGAATTTTCATTTTGCCAATGTTTTCGCTCATTTTATATCTTTAAATTGTATATAGTTAGTTTGGTTTTATATGTTAATGTAAATTACCACAGGGTTGCTATATATTCCCATGCTTTCTGTGGTATCGTCCGGTAAATTTGTGTATGTTTCGTAAAAAAATTTATGTGAATATAAAAAAAATTCATTTTAATTGCTGAAATGCAGGTTTAGGCCATACATTTATTCAGCAGGTTTAGGGCCTTTAACGCTAAGCACAGTGAGACAAAACATATCATTTTAAACAGTGGTTTTGCAGACAGTTGGTTAGATATTAGAGGAAAGGCTAGTGTTTTAATAAGATGATGTCACAAATTTCCCCATGTGTCTGCCAATGAGTTTAAAGTACTTTTTGTCCATTGCTGTCAGAGTATAACCAGATTCATTGCATTTAGAAATAATGACATCAACCAGATTCATTGCATTTAGAAATAATTGACCCTATCACAGTCACGGAATATGGCTATCCACTTAACACTGAATTCACATCTGTAACACATCAGTGCTGTAATCCCCACTAGATAGCCTGAACTATATGTATTTGTTGTTAAACAAAATTTGAACTCAGATGGCTGTTGCAGAGAGGAAAACATGTTGAATTGGAGCATAAGCAACAGTCCAAAAAGAATTTGTTACACGTACAAGCCTCTTTAGCCCAGGCCCTTCACTTTAAAGTCCTCCATAGAGTCTGACTGTTCAGAATGCTGGAAATCACAGCTTCCCTTATCCGCCCTCTCCCCATTTGTCCCTTGCTTCTGGTAGCCTTATGGGGAACCATCCTATCATATATCATTTCTTATTAATAGCCTTTCTTTTAAATTCTTAGAAAGCCCAACCAAAAACTGGATTCAACCCTCTTCCGGCTAATTTCCAACTTCAAGAAACACGAGCTGAAGAACGCCCAATGTTAAGAGAACAACCTCGCCAAGATGCACCCTTGCAACCAAGAAAAGATTTTGATATAGAGCCACCACGACCATACAAGGAACAATATGGCTCCCAGTATCCACCACCTTATCAACATGACTCGGAGCCAGAAATGAAACGTCCGCCATCCCCAGATGAAAAGGAAGACATTGATGCTGGGTGGTTGTAAGTCAATCAGCGCTGTCTAGAAAGCATCCATCAGAAATACACATTGTCACACATGTCTTGTTTCACTTGCAGTTCATGGGGTTGGAGTTTAGGGTATAGATGGAACTTAAAAAACATCCTGTACAGGGACATTATTTTGCAGTATTTAATTAATAGGAACTTGAGGTAATTAGTTTTAGTAATTTCATGTTTTACAGTGTCAAGTTTGTTGTAACTATGCACAGTTATTGATAATTTTGCAAAGATGAGCTGATGAGTTCAGGGGATTTCATCCTGTATTTTCTTAGTGTTTTAAGAAGCAGAAGTACCATAATTGCACTGATTATTTTATCCAGTATATAACAGCAACAAAAGTACCAGGTGCACATGTAATGATAATATTAACAGCGCCAAAGGGGTTTAGCATCCCCCTCTTTCAGTCAGGTCCTTATGAATTCTGATAACCACATAATTATTTTAATTTGTTTGCCCCCCCCCCCCCCCACCCCCCAACACTGACATTCAACATTGCTAGAGAAGAAGGGATGACTGCCCCAAAAGCAAAGTTGCTTTTTGCCAATCCAAATGTGTGAAGTTGATACTTAAGTGTACAAAGAATTCTGATCCCAGCAGCAGTATTGCGGGTTCTCCCTCTGTTATTGGCTAATATGAGCAACGAGGTTAGAACCATCAAACATCATTTCTGATTGACTACAGTCACGAATCATTCATTGAAACCAACTCATAATGATATTTTTTCTTTAGTGAAAGCAGAATTTAGTACACTGGCAGACACCCTGCCTTTAATACACCTTAACATTGTCTTGAGGGTCTTTTAATGGCTCCTTCCCTTTAAAAATCCCCTTTCGTAAACATAGGTACTTCTGTAAACTAAATACAGTCATATTGTAACTACAGGGCCCACGCCACGAAGTTAAACATTGGGGGCAAGGCTAACAAAAGTGGGGGGTGGTCAAGGCTTTTATTGCATTCTTGAAATCATTTGCTTCCGAAATAATTGGAGGCCCCAGCCCCCCCCCCCGCCCCCCTCAGCTGGCGTGAGCCTTGAACTGGTTATGTGTTGTTGTTTTTCTTTGTTTGAAGATAACCGATTGAGCTCGCGCTGATGCAACAAAACTAAATACTGTCGAATAGTAACTGGCTAAAGTTTATTTACACTGAAAATAGTTCTGTATCGTGCTATTTAATAATCTTCGTTATTTTTGTTGATTAATTTCAGGATCAAATTTTCTTGATTGAAATTTTCATTTAGATTTTACGTTTTTCCTGTGTTTATGCATACTTTATTAACGCAGTAAGACCGGTGTATTGCAGACCGTTGATTTTCCGGGGGTTGTCCAAGGTCCGAATTCGAAATATTGATAAGAAATGTCATTCGCACAACCTGTATTTCCAGATATTAGACAGTATAATCCCGAAAACTCGAACTTCCCTCCTGGAATAACCTTTAATTATCTTACCTGTTTTTGCATACCCTTTAGAAGCTTCCCAAATACCTCCGAACCCCTAATGTCACCGGCACCGTGGAGGAGGGGGGCTGGGGGGCTTTAGACCCTCCACTTTTTGCAAAAAATGACAAATACTAAGTAATAAACTACCAGTAAAGCCTCTTTTTATACGGTTTAGCCCCCCCCCCCACCCACTGTTTTTAGACCCCCTCACTTTTCTCAACGCTCCTCGGTGCTTGTAATGCCATCAACTTTCCTTAACTCGAACAGTATTGCATACCCCTTGGAACCTTTCCTACAACACCCCCAATTCCTAAATAAGCAAAACTCCGTTACCTCAAGTTTTTATATCCTTCCCATGGAGGTTCGAGAAATCGGGCTTATGCTAAAGTTTTCACAGTTTATGACAAGTTGTATTATTTCATATCCTTGAAGTCATATTTAATGGCATTTGACATCACCTGTTTCTTTTTAAAACTCGCCTGTTTCTCGTCTTGTCTAAGAAGTTTCGTTCATAGACGCATGCACCGGAAGCTATCAAACTGGAAGGATGCCCCACAACAAGGGGAATGTGCCACTCAACTTTTGAAACTTTAACATTTCTTATAAGTTTTAATATATAATGGCGTCATCAATTTATTGGGGAACATTTATTATTTTTCCGTCCAATAAGTTTCGAACAGAAACTTGTTGGGTAGAGTTTTCGCGTCCACTCTTCGATGTTTCTCCTATTTCCAAATTCCTCTTTGGCACTTTTGTCAATGCATTCACTTTAACTTAATGCTGTACTTTGATGAGGATAACTTGATTTTATTCTGTTATCTCAAGTTTTATGCGAATCAACCAATCATATCGAAGTATTGCGAAATTTCGGAGAAGCGAAGTTGCGAAAAGTCAATTTTAACATAATTTTTGCTGGGTGACCAGTACTCGTTTCATATTAAGAATAATCCAGAAATAAGTTTTCTACAAAGTATGATAAGCATTTGATCTGACTTAAGAAGATTTTCTTCTTTCTGTAATTCTGCAGCAATGGAAATACCATGATACCAGGGGCGTCGCCAAAGGAGTGGTGGGGGGGGGGTGGAGGTGGCGCGGTGGAGGTGGTGACTCTCTTTCCATCGATGATCAACACAAACGATATCTCATTTCTATGCTTTCTACGATATCCATTCGTACCACCTATTACATGTTCTGCTGTAGGAACAAAACATGAACTAACCCAGAGCTACTCCCCTTTTAACGTTTTTTTTTCTTTTCTATTTACTACGATTGTAATAGTCTTATTTTGTAAAAACAGGCTAGCCAGTTACAAATTACCTTGTAATAGTGATATTTGTAATTGTAGTTTAACTGGAATTCAAAATGAAAAGCTTCCATGACCACACCCTTAAAAAGAGAGACACTTCTGTACCCCTCTGAAAAAGTTGTTGGCCTTGTTCCTCCTTGACACTTATGTGCGTGAAGAGATGAATAAAACGAGATAATGAAGAAGAAACCAAATGAAAATACAATCACCGTAGTTTATAAGATAACAAATAAAATAAACCATGATTAAATAAACAACAAGTGTTAAGAATTACAGTATCATACAAATGGTATGTATAAACAATAAAATAAGCATAACAATGGTTTATGGGATTGCCAGGTTAGAATGTAGATTTCCTGGAAATAATGTAAACTGCCTCGTTACAGAACAGATTATTTCGAGGCCAGCTCACACCGGTCACCACTGTTTAAAAATAAAAGGTTTGGATACTGTTAATGTGGTTTCCTCTAGTTGCAAAGCCTTTATTTGTAAGAAAAAGTTCAAAATAAAAGTGCAAGTCTTATGTAAAGTTTGGTATGCATGAGTTTCAATAGGTTGCTTGTTTGGTTCCGGAAATCTGCGAGGGCGATTAGAGTTAGAGAAGGGGGCAATTATAGTTAGGAGGACCGACTGCTACCCTAGCAACAGTAGAAATCATCATAGGGTCTCAGAATCTTCAGATCCAGTGTCTTTGAAGTTAGTTCGTTAAACCTATTGGTGTATGTTTTTTAAGCTTCTTTATCACCGTGTATGCTAATTAAGACTTAGTGAGATTACATTAGTTGAAAGCTGTACAACGCGCCTCCGCTGCGTTTAATACTTCTGTCCATATGATGGTGGTAGGTCTTGAGTATTTTGTATAATGACTGGCTGTTGTTGCATCATAACAGGCTGTTGTACAATGACTGTGCTTGGCTGAGACTGTAAAGCAAAAACCATAATTACCGCGACGGCAAACGTTTAGTTACGGGTAAACAAAAATTTATGATCCATAATATTTGATATAAGCGGGCTACCCTCCTCCACAGCGTATTTTTGGTACTTTTTCCAGTTAAAGGCTTTTTTTACAACCGGCATGCTTTGTGATTATATTATCAAACCAGCCTAACATCGTACTGCATGAAAATCCAAAGTACAATCAATTTTTTCTCGTGTAAAAAGACAGCTACCGCAAAGCATGCTGGTTGGGCCAGAGACTTTAAACTTTAATGCAACACCTAATACAAAATAGCAAATAAGACATCGCAAAGTGACAACAAGCCGAAAACCTACTTGGATCGAAACGGATCGGATCAGATTTTGTGTTGCGCACGCGCTATGGATGCAAAAATGGTCACATGACAGATCCGCGACTGACCGAAACGGTTCGACAAAAAATTGAAATCATTCCAACTTGTTTGATCTGTTCCGGTACAGTAGTTTTCTTTTGATCAAAATCGAATTAAAACTTATTAAACAATAGAGCACTTGCGTCATGAATTCCAATCTGAAACGATCCGCGGATCGAACGGAACTGATCAGAACAACACGATCTGATCCAATCCGTGGATCGTTTTCCAGAGCGGGTTTTCCGCTTAAGACTATAATAAGCAACCAAAAGGACACTGCACAGGAGCGTGATTGGCACCCAGGCTCCAAAAGCTTTGCTATCATTGTTGTAACGCAGTGCAAACAGATTGCTATATTCAAGTCGCCTTTGATATGAGCATGTGAACATTTGAATGAATGGAATCAATATGTTAGAAAAAAGAGCTTAACAAAGGCTATGTTGTTGAAAACGAGATTAAGTTGTCGTCTTACCCCAGAACAGCACGTGGCAATGCATCCTAGAATCGAGGCTGCCAAGCTGACAAGGGCAGAGATCACAGCAAATATGACGATACTCCACATAAGGGATACGATGGTCTTCAATGTGTCACAACTATCAACTGCGAAAAGTATAAGTTAAAGAATTCTTAACTGATGACGTCACAAAATATGTTTTAGTGATGACGTCACAAAAATATGTTTTAGTGATGACGTCACAAAAATTAATTTTTTTGAGAATTTTTTTAATTTGAATAACATAACCTGAAAGAGTATCATGAAATATCTCTAAATATGTGAAATCGGTTAAATTAGTTATATGTTGGCTGCAATATGGCAATATGAACGCAGGCACTTTACCTACTAAAACATTAAACCAAGATATTTGTAATCCGTTAGCAAACTTCCAATCATCGATTGGCAATATTACATCAAAAGCAGAAGTCTTGTATAATTCGTGGACCTAAATTAAGGAACCAATGTAGCAAAAGTTTCAAACACTCGTGGCCATCTTTCTAAATGGTTCGAGGGAACATAACAAAGAAATTGCTTTATGTTTCTCTGTTTCTGTTTTTTTTCCGATTTGCAGTGGTGATTCCTTTCATTTTTTTGCGGCTATTCAAAAACTGAATGTAAACTTGTACTCTTTGGCGTTCTACACAGTCTTGAAGACTCATTGCTACCAATGAGCCATTGCGCTACTGTAAAAGGACAGAATTTCGTTAAGGAAACTTTTGCTTGTTTGCTGTTTGAATTTCATTTGCGTGCTTGACTTTTGTTAGCACCTTGGCCAATTTCCATGTAACAGCCTGTCTTGTGATCAGCTCCTTTGTTCTGTTTTGTATAACTGTCCTAATTATCTTAATTGCTGTTGAGTATAATATTTGTTGGCTTTTGTGAGTAATTCAGTCGTTTAATTTAGTCGCTAAGGTTGAGCCGTGATTTCAGATGTTCGTATAGCCGTTGTTATTTCAGGAAGTTTGAAGCATACCAGTTTTGCCGAAGTGACCCATATAGTCGTTGTTGAATTAGATAAAACTATAGGAACCGTCGAGCCAAGAAATCAGAACACGCTTATCGAATTTTGTACTTTCTTTTACTGCCGAATCTGCGAACACAAGCCTGTAAAACCCTCGTAAACTCAGTGATTTTACATTGGTGACCACGACGTGACGGGAGAAATTGGTAAAAAAGAAAGCTGGTATTTTAGAAGAAATATGTCGAATTTTAATCGTAGAAATGACTTGCTATATTTGCGTGCAACAGACGGTCGTCCTGTCTGCAACTATTGTAAAATGGTTGGACATGTTGTCAAGTACTGTCGCAGTCGCCCGTTTATTCATCCACCAAAAGCTTATCGCACGAATGGATTTCCTCGTTGGTTTTCTACAAAATTTAGCCGATATAACGACGCACAATTTGAGGAAGAATTCCAGCACATCTGCAAACTAATTGAAAACTTGAAATGTATTTTACGTCAAGTAGAAGAGATAATGCACAGAAAAAGGGAAAATGTTGCGAGACAAGATAGGGGACAAAAAAAGTTTGAATTTGAAAATAATGAAATCGCACCCAATGAACAGGAAGATTGTGTCATGCCAGAACAGTCGATTTATAAAGGAGATGCAAATAGGGGAGGCAGCTATTACCAAAGAGCAGGGGAAGCAAACAAGATTGTCAGGAAACATAGCACGCCAAGCGGTACCAAACAATTTTGGAATGGAGTCACTTGAAGCAAGCGAGGACGCTTGTCCTTGAAGGGGAGAGTTATGTAAAAGGACAGAATTTCGTTAAGGAAACTTTTGCTTGTTTGCTGTTTGAATTTCATTTGCGTGCTTGACTTTTGTTAGCACCTTGGCCAATTTCCATGTAACAGCCTGTCTTGTGATCAGCTCCTTTGTTCTGTTTTGTATAACTGTCCTAATTATCTTAATTGCTGTTGAGTATAATATTTGTTGGCTTTTGTGAGTAATTCAGTCGTTTAATTTAGTCGCTAAGGTTTAGACGTGATTTCAGATGTTCGTATAGCCGTTGTTATTTCAAGAAGTTTGAAGCATACCAGTTTTGCCGAAGTGACCCGTTTAGTCGTTGTTGAATTAGATGAAACTATAGGAACCGTCGAGCCAAGAAATCAGAACACGCTTATTGAATTTTGTACTTTCTTTTACTGCCGAATCTGCGAACACAAGCCTGTAAAACCCTCGTAAACTCTCCTAACTCATGGTTTACACCACGCAAGCCATCCCATAATGCATTTTCAGACAGTCTGAAATTCAACTATGTTAATCCGTTTAAAGTTTTACTCCATGTTTGGTCATCGCCAAAGCTCATTGTAGCAATGGTCTTAAACACAATATATTGC